CAGTTTTCCCAACACTGTTGAGGAGGTTTTTCTTTCTCCATTGAGTGCTCTTGGCACCTTGTTGAAGATCATTTGACTGTTATATGAGGGTTTATCTGTGGGCTGTTTACTTTATTCCACTGGTCTATATGTCTGACTTTATGCCACTTTGACACTGTTTTGATTACTATAGTTTCATAATAAGCTTTGGAATCAGGAAGTATGAGGTTTCCAACATTCTTCTTCCTTTTCAAGACTGCCTATTTGAGGTCCCTTGAGATTCCATATGAATGTTAGGATTTATTTTTCTATTTATGCAAAAAATGCCATTGGGATTTTGATAGGGATTGCACTGATCTCTGGATTGCGTTGGGTGGTATTGACATCTTAATGGTATTAAGTTTTCCAAACCTGTGAACCTGGGATGTCTTTAAATTTATTTGTCACTTTTTAATTTCAAAAATGTTTTGTCATTTTCAGTGTACAAATTTTTCACCTAATTGACTAGGCTTATTCCTAAGGATTTTTTTATTTTTGATGCTATTGTAAGTGGAATTGTTTAATTTTGTTTTGGATTGTTCATTGTTATTGTATAGAAATGCAGCTGGTTTTTGTGTGCTGTTTCCCACACCTTTGCTGAATTTATTCTAACAGGTTTTTGTTTTGTTTGTGTGTATGAGTGTGTATCTATAATCTTTAGAGTTTTTTTTACAAGTAAGATCATGTCATTTGAGAACAGAGATGATTTCAACTTCTTCCTTTCTGGTTTGGATGTCTTTTGTTTCTTTTTCCTGCCTAATTTCTCTGAGTAAGACTTCCAATTCTATGCTAAATAGAAATGGCCAGAGCAGCATCTTTGTCTTCTGCCTGATCTTAGAGGAAAAGCTTTCAGTTTTCCATAGTTGAGTATAATGTTAGCAGTGGGCTTTTCATATATGGTCTTTATTGTGTTGAGGCAGTTTCCTTCTAGTCCCAGTTTTTTTGGTATTTTTACCATGAAAGGATGTTGAGTCTTGTCAAATGCTTTTTCTTTATCAACTTATATGATCATTGTGATTTTTGTCCTTTATTCTGTTAAGGTGGTATATTACAATAAATTTCATATATTGAAACGTCCTTGCATTCCAGGAATAAAGATTATACACTTGATCATGGTGTATAATCTTTTAAATATGCTGTTAGATTAGATTTGCCCTCTGATTGTTTTGATTATTTTTGAAGCAAATACCAGGCATCTTATTACTTGATTCATTTGATCTAAAAATATTTCAGTATGTATTTTTAAAACATGGGGATTTTCAGAAATAATTATAAGATTATCACATCAGACATCTCAGTTTACTGTAATTCTTTAATGCCATCCAATGTCCAGTCAGTAGTCGTATTTTCTCAATTGTTTTATTTTTATAGATACAGTTTGTTTAATCAGGGTACTTAAGTTCTGTGACTTACGATTGCTTTGTAGGTTTCTGAAGTCACTTTCAATTTATAGGTTAAATTCTGTCTTTTTAATCTTGCTGTATTTTGTTTAAGAAGCCATGGTTTACTTGATGGTAGATCTTTCTGATTGCATCCTGTGATGCAATCTTTGTGATATAGTTTATTATATTTCTCTGTCCCCTGTATTTCTTGTAAATTGTTACTTCTAGGGGTTTGGTTGGATTTTTATTATTGTATTTTATTTTATTTTTTTGAGACGGAGTTTCGCTCTTGTTGCCCAAGTTTGGGTGCAATGGCGCGATCTCAGCTCACTGCAATCTCCGTGTCCTGTGTTCAAGCGATTCTTCTGCCTCAGCCTCTGGAGTAGCTAGGATTACAGGCATGCACCACCATGCCTGGCTACTTTTATATTTTTAGTATAGACGGGGTTCCTCCATGTTGGTCAGGCTGGGCTCGAACTCCTGACCTCAGGTGATCCACCTGCCTCGGCCTCTCAAAGTTCTGGGATTACAGACGTGAGCCACTGCGCCCGGCCACTTCTTTATTAATTTTTTAAAGAGTGTTTTTCTGATTAGTAATGTTAAAGCAAGCTAAATATGGCCTGAGAAGGACCCTGTACTTCTATATTTGAGTCCTTGCAGATGAACTATAATCTAACTTAATCGGTAGGCAAGATTGAAAACCTAATTTAGGAGTATGTGCCCGTAACAATAGCTGAGTCTTGGCCAATCCCAGCAGCCACATACTTCAACCACTCATACACTGCTGAGTGTTCAGACTGTATTCAAATACGACAAACGCCAACCTGTAACCAGTCCAGCTATTTCTGTACCTCCCTTCTGATTTCTATACATCACTTCCCTTTTTAATCTATAAATTTGTTCTGACCACAGGGCATCCCTGGGGTCTCTCTGAATCTGCTGTAGTTCTATGGGCTGCCTGATTTCTGAATTGTTCATTGCTCAATTAAACTCCTTTAAATTTAATTCAGCTGAAGTTTTTCTTTTAACAGTAACACTGACCAGGAGCAGGAGCACTTGTGACTATTGCCAGTGCCTACCATTTTTGGGCATAAACATCTACCATGCATGGTGCTGAGATCATTCATATCTATTAGCTATTTGATTTTACACATATAGGTTCTCTATTGTTATCCTTGCTTTGTAGTTAAGGGCACTGGTGCCTAGAAAGTGTAAATAAATTATCCCACTGGTATACAGCAGGTAGGTAGCAGAGCTGGACTCTGAACCCAGGTTTGTCTGACTTTTGAGTCAGGCAAAATTCTGAAGAATGTGTGTTTTAACTAAAATGCTTTTTGAGGAGTTCAGTGGGATTTGTAGACTGGTAAAGAAAGACTTGCAGTGTGGGATGTGCAGGAGTTAAGTGTGAAGAAGGATCTTTTATTGACCATGAGCAGTAGGATCTGTTTGCTCAGTTGCAATCAACTGAACCACTCATGGGCTAACTGCCCTCACCTCAGGTCAAGAGATATTTGTTATCTGAATGTGGATAGTTTACTGGGAAACAATGTTGCTGGTAAATGTGTGTTACAGATCTAGCCTATTTAACAATTTAGTCCAAGAGGAAAGAGGATTCATGAAGCAGATGTGGATTCTGGTCCTTAAGATGGGTGAGAATCTAGTGACTGGCTACCAAATTACTTATTGAAAAATTAGTTTTACAGTTTCAAACCAGACACAGAAGAAACCTTAGATATAGTCAAATTAGAGGAGACAGACAGTACGCTAATAAACAGATAAACATCTGATATAATGGCAGATACTGATGAGCTCCCTGCAGAAAAGTAAAACAGGGCACAAGGATAAAGAGTGGTGGGGTAGAGTGGGACCGGGCGCCGTTTAGATGCAGAGGTCTGAGAAGCCCTCTCTAAGGAAGTAACATTGGAGAAGAACCTGAAAGTAGGGGAGGGAAGAACCTTATAGGTACAGGGGACAGCAAAGGTGGGAATTTGCCTAGGGCTCTTGGGAAATAGCTATGAAGGAAGGTGTGAGAGCAGGCACAGAAGATTACGCCACAAAGGCTAGGGAGGTGGCAGACAGCTCAGGACGTTCATAATACTAGGACACACAATTCTATCTCCTGGGTGGCAGACAGCTCAGGTGATTCTTAATAACAGCTCAGGACGTTCATAATACTAGGACACACAATTCTATCTCCTGAGTGTGGGCAGCTCCTTATATGGCTTTAGTTATTTGTTCCTGTTTTCCATCTTCCTTTGCCTTTGCTGTCCTATTTCTAGAAAGAATGTGCTTGCTTTGTTACCCAAAGGACAGGGTCTGAGTTCTATCACAGATTTCCTCAGAAGAACGTGACACAGACTGGGCGGAGTCTCTGGGTTTAGCCAAATGAATCCATTGTGATATCTCGTGGTTTGGGGGAAAAAAAACAATCATTGTTTCAAAAATAAGATATAGTATATGACCCTTATATATTTTATAATTAGAATATGGGCCTAATGTTTTAAATTTAGTAGGAAACGAATTTCTTGTGGAAGTACATAGCAGAATTTTTAACTGGCAGCATGATCTATAATATAGCAGCTACCTCCTTCCTGTAAACACTTGTGTTGGAATGTTTTGCATTCCCATGAAACAATTTTCCCAAATGTGTCTTTTTAGAGGAAATGTAAATTATTCTCATGCTATTGTGGTAATGAGAACATGGTTAAAAAAACAAAAAACAAAAAACACCACCACTAACAACCACAAAAAAACCACCCTGAACTTGCACTGGCCTTGGTAATGTAAGAAATGTTGATACAAGTATGCTATCATAGAGAATGCAGAGAAGTTACCTGGTTTGTCCCCAAATGGAGATTTTTTTAAGTCTAGCTCGTTGTCTAATGTGTATTTGCATCCTTTAGTGTTTAACCAGTTTTTTTTTTTAATCCAGTGAATCCAGGTAATTTGACTTTCCACTGATAAAATATTTACTTGTCATATTAGGCAGGGTGCTAAACTTGGAAATTAAAAGTACTGAGTTAAATTTAAAATTTGTTGAAAAGTATTCATCATGATGTATTCTATTTAATGTTTTGGCAGTGCCTCTGGCTCTTCTCATTTAACATGCTGGGAGACAGACTGGCAGCAGTTGTAAGTTGAAACCTGGTTTTATGCAGAATGAGACTGATAGGGGTACAAAATAAAATGGAGAAAATTTGAAAGTGTTACTGTGTGTTTCCTTAAATTAAAATGTGACACGTTTGCTTAAAATAGAGTTTGTCAGGGCTATTATAACTTCATGTTAGATGATCCTAAGACTGAAACTGGTTTTAAATATTGTTCCGAGGAATAACCAAATTTGTCTCTTAAAATGTTGTCATTATGTCACACAATTTGTTTTTATATAATAAGCATGTTTTACAATATGTTTGAGTCATTTTCCCCAGTAGACCTGAAATTTATTACTCAGAGGAAAAGCATGCATTTACAATATATTCTTAGCTGCTCCTTTCTATCATTCAGCTGTCAAGTCCTATGGAATCTAAAATAGAACTCAACCAATGGGAGACAGGCTCCACACTGTTTACTGGACAATTCGGATGTGGACAGTTTTATCATGCACTGCAGCGTCTGTGTTGCAGTGTTGAGGCAGCAGGATGCGGAGCGCTGTTCAAGTTTTCCAGTGGTGTCCCTCAAAGGGACAACTTTGAAAGATAGCTAGCTTCTAAAAAATAAGAAATAGACAGTTACTGTACCTGACTTGGGGCTGCTCTTAATCAAGTGCTGCATTGCAAGGAAGATAATATTCAAGCGTTATGAAGGCGGAGAAGGATCCTGACGACGAAGAAAATATCGTTAGAGATCCAAGCTAAGTGTAGCACAGTATGTGAGGGACTGAGTCACTTGTCAGGAGTTTGTCTGAGGGTTTGCTTTGTGAGCTTACAGAGATTTGTAACTTTATGCAAAGTAGTTTGCCATTAGCAACAAGAAACTAAATCCTGTCTATGATGAACTGTTGGTTTTCTTGTGCTCCTAAGAACAGAGTAGGTATCCCAGTAGTCTAGTGTAACAAAAGATTCTTGGTTAGGCTTTCTGAACTGTGTTCTTTTAAAATGCACTACTGTTTTATTAATTTGGTTTGCTTTATTTTTTTCTTCTTGATTTAGTTGATTAGCAGATTGGGGTTAGTAATAGAAAACAAAAGTTCTTTCTTTCTCTGGGTTTAAAAAGCACATGATAAAATCTTAATAATTGTACAGTGTTACTGTTAACTGACAGTGAATTGCAGCTGAAAATGGTACTTGGTGTAGAACTGAAAGTCATATGATAATGTGAGACTTTAATCACATTTAATTATCTTTAAAGAAAGCCTTGTTTTTGAATTTTTACCACTTTTTGGTGATTTAAATGGCTCTTTTTTCCACCAGCAAGTTTACTTGGAAATAAACTTGAGATTATTTTAATTGTAAGGATAGACTAATCAAATCTAGAATAAGCATTTGTGTGTTAAGTGTGATTTAATCCTTTAGACATTTGAAAATACAATGTCTTGTAAGCTTATGTTCACTACCACTCCCCAAATTGGAGTCAATAAACTGTTTTGTTTTTGTTTTAAAGCTTAAGAAAGGTGATACGTAAAATGTAGCTTAGATATGGAGCCCATAGGTAGGGTTATTCTGTAAGTTGGCAGTTTAAACTTTTGAAGTTAGGAAGAAGGGGGTTCATCACCAAATTTAACTAATTTAGAGACAATTCTAAAATATGTGTAGGTACTTGAACCAGGTTCCATTAAAATATTAAATTACAGGAGTAAGTTAAAATTTTAATGTATTTGTCTTTTTTCATAATCATTCTCTACATCAAATATTTAATTTTACATTACTTGTTTAACAAGAAAATTAGTGATGGTGATTTTTTTTACTTTTCTTTTTTGGTTTATAGGGAATAGTAGATATAAAATTATCATATTGATCAAACATTTAGAGGATATACAAGTGATTCAGTTTTTTTCTCAGAGATTTGTTAGGGTATTTGTGGCCCTAGGATTTGTTTTGTAAGTTAAGTGAAAAATACCCAGATCTTTTTTTGTTCTAGAAATAATACTAGATTTAGCACAGAATTTACTAGTAAATTGGTATAATATTTTAAAAGGCTAAAATATCAACTGTTTAACATGTATTTTAGTTCTATGTTCTGACATTTATGCTTATTGAGAAAAGATCTAGGTTATTGGCTTCAGAATACCTTGAATGTATTTTTGCTTATCAAAGTTAGAGATAACCTTGATATGATTAAAATGTATGTTATATGAGACATCCTCCTTAAAAACCTCACCTTTAATCTTCTAAATACACATATACAGAATTTTTATTAAAATTAAAAATCTATTTTTTATAAAAACAATACATATGGAATGTAAAAAGGGAGAAAATGAAAGTAAGCTGTGATCTTAGTATTTTCAGATGTTAAGCAGTTAATACTTTAGAGTCTGTCATCTTTAGCTTTTTCTATGTAAAAGTTTTATTTTATTCTAATATATAAACATAATGAATTGCTTTCTATATAGAATATGTGTGTGTATATTTAATTTGCCTCCATAAATATATTTCCAACAGTACTTTTTAAATAAATGTCTATGTTAGGGGGGTAGTTTCTTAAAATGTATGTAGAATTCCACTGCATCTAAGAGTCCTAGGAGATATGTAACCAGAGCCAAATCTGAAAGTGTGATTTGAAATCTGAAAGGGTGTGGGAAAACCACACTGATTTTGGAACTATAAAAGTCATGGTCGGGCTTGAACACTTAAGACATTTACTGTCTCTGGGGCCTTGGCTTTTCTTATCTGCTAAATGGAGATGATAATTTTAGTTTACTAGGGTTGATTGGGACCTTAGTGCCTGGTACAGGGTGGGTGTTCAGTAGTTACTGATTTTCTTTTTTGCCTCAAAGGCAAAGAGAACTGGGCAGAGAACAAAAGAAACATGCTTTCCCTCAAAAGTATAATTTTAAATGTTTCTTGTATATCTTGTGTCTTGTATATCTTGTTTAAGATACACAGATTTTATAACTCTGCTCTCCTAATGAAGCTAGCACAGAAGGGAGAAGGAAATTTGGAATGCAATTGGAAAATAAGTTATGTATTATGCAGTACTGCTTTCTCTTCTCTTTTTTTTCCTTTCTTTAGGAAATCTTAACTAATGTAGTATGCCATATTTACTTTTTTTTTTCGTTTTTGTAGCATGCAGCAGATTGGAATAAATATGATGACCGATTGATGAAAGCAGCAGAAAGGGGGGATGTAGAAAAAGTGTCCTCAATCCTTGCTAAAAAGGGGGTCAATCCAGGCAAACTAGATGTGGAAGGCAGATCTGCGTAAGTATTATTGATGATAAAAGCGTGTCTGAAGGGAATTGTCTTGGGATACAAATGAAACTTGTGAATTGTAGTTATCAACTTATTAAGAAATTCTGCCAAAACCTGCACTATAAAATCTTTCAAACAAACTAATAATTGTTCTCAATTTAAAAGATGTCCAGTCTAGAGAGAGAACACCAGAATACTACCCAGTGGTCTAGAATTGTTTAGACCCGGTGGCAAACCACAGCCTATGGTTATTTGGTGCATTTTCATTATCAGCCTTTTTGTATTCCTTATCATATTTGCTCTTTGAAGCAGCCTGATAAAAGAAGTGGGAAAAAGTTTACGGAGGTTAAATAATTTGGTCTCATTTCAGGTAAAGTCACAGAGCTGGAATGTGAACCCAAGCTTTGTGTCTTTGAAGAGTTCTGTAAATTACACTCTTTTCTCCCAACCCCCAATCCATTTTTATACTTGGATAATTCACTTAAATGAGAATGCTTAGAGCAGAAAGGAGGCAGAATAACTAGTGTGGGTTAGGGAGATACAGGTAATAATCCCACCCTTTTGTTTTTTTGTTACTGAGGGGAACTGCTGGCTTGTGTATATGCTTATGAACCATGTGTCTGTCTTCTCCCCCTCGTCTCAAATCTTTATTATTTCCTTTCTTGCTGTGAGTGGGGAGCAGTTGGGTTAAAGGGTAGATCTGGTGTCTGTTATGACCCTCTATACTTATAGCATTTAAAACCTTATCTGGGAACCCTTCCAAAGTTAGAGGTGAAAAGTCTCATTTCCTAAAAATTCTTCTCAGTCTTGTACTTGCATGAATTTATTCAGAATATTATAACTGGAAACCAGATACTAAATATAGAAATGAATATTAGGAAGTGAATAGTTAATGTGTGATGTGGGTCACTGCCTTGGAATGCTTAGATATTAAATATAGTAAAGATAACAAAACAGAACTATAAATTAAGTAGTTTTTAAGAGCAATAAAGTTGGAAAAGTTTCAAGTTCATAATGTTTCACTTTTATCAAGTAGCAGTTTGATAGTTATGGAAACATTGGTTATTTTGAATCTTGTCCCATTACTGAATTTTAAGCTATTTATAGGGCTCACAGTATAAATTGTGAAAATTTAATATCCAAAAGTGACATTGCTTTTCATGTTTCTTTTTTCTCAAATGCTAAGATGATAAAAGATAAAGGGAATCTTTTTTGGGATGAAACTTTTCAGTGAAACCTACATCACTGACATCAATTCTGCCCATTCATACTTTGAATGTTTTGAGTGAATGGTGGCTTGAGTTTTTGTTTGGAGTTTTTGATATAAGGTTCAATTTTGAGTGACATTAAATAGTCAGTTATAATGGTGTAATTTTATGAACTGTGAACTTTAGTTTTTGAAATATTTGAGGAGTGTTAGTCTTGAAGTTTTCATTGTAGAGAGTAGAATTTTTTTTATTTTTTATTTATTTTTTATTTTTCTGAGATGGAGTTTTGCTCTTGTTGCCCAGGCTGGAGTGCTATGGCATGATCTCAGCTCACCGCAACCTCTGCCTCCAGAGTTCAATTGATTCTCCTGCCTCAGCCTCCCGAGTAGCTGGGATTACAGGAATGCACCACCAGCCCTGGCTAATTTTGTATTTTTAGCAGAGACAGGGTTTCTTCGTATTGGTCAGGCTGGTCTTGAACTCCCGACCTCAGGTGATCTGCTCACCTTGGCCTCCCAAAGTGCTGGGATTACAGGCCTGAGCCACTGCACCAGGCCGAGAGTAGAATTCTTTCTAGCATTCGTAGAATTAAGTATTTCCCTTTTTTTAACTCACACGCAAACTCTATTCTTAATTAAAGCATGTTGTATTTAGTCAAGTGTGGGACATGTTACAAATATATTTTCTGTATTTACAAAAACAATTTGTTTCAAATGATTGTTTTTAATTTTGAAATTTATTTCTAAATTTAAGACAAAAGAACATGTACTTCTTGAGCTTAATTTGGTTTCAAAAATGAAATACTTGAAGCCTAGCCATAGTTACTGCAAGGATCTGTTTTCTTCCTGTTTGACTCTCTCCTAACGTACAGCCCTTCGACGGCCCAATCCAAGATGGGGAAGGTTCACCAAGGATTCCACTGCTACTTGGAGAGCAGTGGACTCCAGTTTGTGTCTCCCCATTTCGTTAAGGCTGTCAAAGTGCTGTTCAGTACTTTGGAATTAGCAAATGTTCCCAGGGAAAAAGTGACCTCAAATACTAAGCTCACTTCTCTGGGCCTTCGTCCTACCTTGCATCCTGGCCTAGTAACTTTTTACTATTTTGTTAGCTCACTGACACCTTTAAGCATGTCTCATATTTTTTGCAGCTTTTCTAGTTGTCCTCAGTAGTAACGTTTGTCCAAGTTACATATATCTCTTGTTATAGAAGAAGTCCATGTCTTGTTTTTAAAAGAAAAAAACAGAGTTGCTTTTTAAATTGCAAAACAGTATTTTTTGTAAAGCAATTTTTCAAATTTCCTATATAATTCTTTGCATATGTTTTAATGATTGATATATTTTCTTTCCAAAGCACATCTATTTATAGCACATCAGCATTACTAATGCATTGTAGATTTGTTGTGATTTCTGACCTTTTGTACATCATTATAATGTGGATCTCTTTTGAAGAAAGAGGTCTTCCACATTTTGTGATCTAAGAAATGAAAACAAGCAAACAACAAAACAATGATATCTCTAAGATTGTTGGGAGACTACCTTTACTAAAGGAAATTAGCATTCTTCAAAAAGTTCTTACGGTGCATTGCATAGTATAATTCCCAGTTTCATTGTGGCAGAGGGATTATAAGGCGGAGATACTCAGCCTTACAGCGATTTAATTTAGTAGAAGGAGAACTTACCTGATTCTTAAGACCACTATATTCCTTTTACCAGAAACATCTTTCTAATTCAGATTGTACACAAACCTGCTTTACTTGGTAGTGCTTGGTCTATAGTTTGCATTTATATCCATTGTAATACTAATAGCTTCGCAAGACTGAGTCTTGTAATATCTGGAAATGAATTTGTAAGCTATCATCAGATTTTGTCTCCAAGCATGCAGTTATTCAAATATTTGAGAGTTTGTCATTTGACTGGCACTGTTACTGGTTTGGGGGATGTAATAGGAAGCAAAACTAGACAAAAATCCCTGCTTTCATTGAGTTGAGCAGGAAGAGATTGATAGACTATAAAGAAAGTAATGAATTTATTCTATTACAAAATATTAAATCCTATATAGAATAATAAAGGCAGGCATTGCGGGAACTAGGAGTACTAACATTTTGGTGAATGGGGAAATGTAAACAATTTTAATGGTGTGTGGTCAGGGAAGACCTCTGCTGAGAGTGGGCTTCAACAGTGTATCTGTATCCTGGCACCTGCTGAGCACTTTCACATTTTTTGTTTCCTGGCATCTTTAGAATGGTTATTGCACTTACTTAAGGCCTCAGTTCTATTTCTACTTGTGTTCAACATCCTTTGCCAACAACTATTGTGTTTACCAGTTTGAATTTGTAGAGTAATATTCAATGTCAGTGGCAGTTCTTTTTGTTAAATTCAGCATAATTCATAGATTCACAGAATGTCAGTTCTTACTGCACACAAAGTATTTCTGTGTTTGTTGATTAATAAAATATTAGATGATCAAATAAATAACGAAATATTGTTACCTAGCATTTTGAATACTTGATAGCTTAAAGTTAGTTTTTTAACTTTAACTTGCCTTATTAGGAAACTTATTCAATTATTCCCGTTCATGTGAAACTTAAGCCAATCATACAAGCCCAGGCGTTTGAACAGAAGGAAGAATTAACTGGTAGTTGGTAATTAGTTGGTAATGTTTGGGAGGAAGGCACTGATTCTTTTGTGATTTTAAGGGTAGTTTAGCTTGTTGTTTTGAAGGCTTTTCTTAGGTTTAGTTTGATAATTCTAAAAAGAAGAGATAAGTGTTTGGATCTGTCTTTGGCCTCAGCATTCTGCTAAACTAAATAAAATAATGAAACTATTTGAAACTAAATAAAATAATCTGATAGAACATTTTCAGTGCATTTATTAAGATCCAACCAGCAGTGCTTTTGCTATAAATTTTAGAGTTAATGATATTATAGTGTAAACTTTCTCTTATTAAGGCTTTTGCACGTTCGTATATTTCATTGGTTCTAAGCAGATATTTTTAGAAAGTGTTGGCTGCTTATGTAAATAGGATAGGTTTCTTTTTTAAATTTTAATTAAATATATTGGTGTTCTAATGTAGCCTTTAAAACATGTGTATTTGTGTGTTTGTGTGTGTGTGTGTGTGTGTTGAATAAAGGGTGACATTAATGTAACATTTAAGGTGACCTTTGGTCATTTCCTTAGCATAACAAATTTTTGTTGTTGTTGTTTAGCTTCCATGTTGTGGCCTCAAAGGGGAATCTTGAGTGTTTAAATGCCATCCTTATACATGGAGTTGATATTACAACCAGCGACACTGCAGGTATGTTTACCTCCATAGTTAATTGTAAAACATAAAGCGAAAACAAACATTGTCCACTGCTAACATTTTTATTCAGACTTAAATGTGATTTAAAGAGAGACATCTCAATTTTCTGTTTTTAAATAGTTGAGAAAAAGTTTACTTCTGAGGTATTGTGGGATAGGTCAAGTATAGGGAATTTAGGAGAAAGGATTGCTTTATTGATGAGCAGCTGGAGACCTGAATTCTAGTGCAGGTCCAAGTAGTGTTACAGGATCCTAAAACCTCAGATTTTGAAGAACCATTAGGGACCATTTAGTTTATATTCATATACTGTTGATTAATGAATTCTTTCTATTGTGAGGTCATTTGGCATTTGGTTGGATGTTTCTTGTGATAGAGAACTAACTGCCACATAACAGCATTATCATCAAGGACAACAATAATAACAAGAATAGCTGACGTGTATATAACATTTAATAGCTATTCTTCTAAGCACTTTACCCACTCATTTTATCCTCACATCAACCCAGAGAGGTTCTGAGGCCCTGAGCTCTTAAGTAACTTGGCCCAAGGCCCTTCAGTAGCTAAGTCGCAGTCAGAATCTGTATTCTTAACCATTATGCCTCATAAGGAACCCATTCTGTACCTAGCTATGTTTATAAAAAAATCATTTTTTATAGAGAATCAAAATGTATTTCTTACTCAGTTTTCTGCTTACACTTAATTGTACCTTTGTTCTTTAAAATCTTACAAGAGAAGTTTGTACATCAAAGGTAGACCTTTAAGTATTTGAATATAACTCTCTCTTTTGTGCCATGAGAGTGCTAGTTTCCTATCTATCAGGATAAACATTCTCACTTCTCTGGGACTGTTGACAGCTTAGTTCTTTGCAGTTCTACTTTGTGTTTCTGTTAAATACAGGAGTTGACTCAGAACTAAAAGGTTTTGTTTGTTAGTTTTTACAGTTTTTTATCCTGTGATTCCATGTATGGGCAAATAAATACATCACTGTTACCCAGCATTGTGTTTAGAAATGGAAGGGAAGGAGAGGGAGACAGATCATAATTAAAGTAGTGAGGTAAATCTTTAATTAAGAATACATCAGATTCTAAGAAGACCAAATTCAATTTATCTGCTACCTTTGAGTGAACAAAGAAATGTGTTTATTGCTTATATATGCTTTCCATTGATGTAGAAGAACATTTATTTTTAGACATTTTGGACTAACCATGCCTTTTCGGAGCTCTTAAGACTATTTATTATGCTGATTCCAATTCAAACAAGTGTCTTTGTTGTTTTTGCCTGTATTCTTTCTGCTCTAGACATTTTGCCTAGTGGCTAATCCAGTGACTTCTGCCTGCCTTCTTTCATTGCAGATCAAGCTCAAATGCTTTCCCAAGCTCAGCAGACATTATTTCATATATTGCACCCCAACATACCATGTTTAACTCTTCCTGTCTTTTGTTTTTGCTGCTATTTATATTTTCATTTGATATGTTTTATTACGTTTGTCTCTAGAGTTGTCCTTTATTGAATACAAGAGTCTTTTCTCAATTGCTGTAATGTCCGTTATAATCCAGACATTACAGCAATTAAATTTGAACACACATCTTTATGTGTATTATCTTAAGTGCTGTTTAATATATAAGTGTATTTAAAATGACCAGATTTCAAATTAGTGCAGTTTTGAGATATTTGTTACTTAGGTCTTACCAGGTATGCACCTGTGTGTTGTAATTTATGTTGGTATGCTTTAGATCTGATGTTTCCTTGATTTTTTGCTACCATATCTCTACTGGCTAGATTTGGTGTTTCCTTAGTCCTGACCTGACATTTTTATGTGATCAAGTTTCTGTACCATTTTGTAGAACACCAGGTACTCTTGCCACTGTGCCTAACCTTACCATCTCCACTCCATGCTATCTCTTACTTCACATGTAAATGACAGTTATTTTAGTCACTTTTCACAATGTGAAATGTTTCTAGGACACTTGTTCATGAACAGGAGCGAACTGAAATTTGAAATCACATCTGATCGACTTGTAATTAGAGGATGTTTGGGTGTGGTTGAATATATTATATCTGTACTTACTGAAAAACCTGAAAGACCTGGATTCACTCTATTTTGTTCTGCAGCCTGGTTAGTCAGCTACACAGAAGTGACCAAAAAGTTGAAAGCCAGTTTATTTATCCCTCCAAGATGAATAAAACATAAATTACTTTTCTAGCAAAAAGGTCTACTTGTGAAATCAAATTGTGGCGTTTTTGTTTTTTTCTGACAGGGTTTCGCTTTGTCACTTAGGCTAGAGTGTGGTGGCATGATCATGTCTACTACAACCTTGACCTCCTGTGCTTAAGTGATCCTCTGCCCTCAACCTCTTAAGTAGCTAGGACTACAGGAATACATCACCACACTTGACTAATTTTTATGTGTTTTGTAGAGATGGGGTTTCACTATGTTGCCCAGGCTGGTCTCAAACTCCCAGGCTCAAGCAATCCACCTGCCTAGGCCTCTCAAAAGTACTGGGATTGCAGATGTGAGCCACCGTGTCCGGCCCCCAAATTATATTTTAAGAAGTTTGTGGCCAGGTGTGATGTCTCATGCTTGTAATCCTAGCACTTGAAGCAGCAGGATTGCTTGAGGCCAGGAGTTCAAGACCAGTCTGGGCAATACAGTGAGACCCTGTCTCTACACAAAATAAAATAAATTAGCTGCACATGGTGGCATGAGCCTGTAGTCCCAGTTACTCTGAAGGCTGAGCTGTGAGGATTGCTTGAACCCAGGCATTCGAGCCTGCACTGAGCTATGAGGCTGCACACTAACCTGCATGACAGAGTGAAACCTTGTCTCTAAAAGGATAAATTGAAAAGAAAAGAAGTTTGTGAGATTAGAGGGAAATTAAGAGCATTAAATGTTAGAAGGTGGAACAGTCTGGTTAAATCCTTATATCTTTCACCATCCAAGAGGTGTTTGGATAAAGAAATATAATTAACAAAAATAGTGTTTGGAGGTAGAACTTTCCTACAAGTTTCTTTTCTGGTATTCAGAATTAACCTTTCAGATTACCTGGTAACTCTCCTCCCTACCCGCTTTGGCATTTCCTTTAAAATGCACATTTTATACAAATTATATTTGAACGAGCTGTCTGATTTTCAGAGATACAATTACATAATAAACTTTGAATTTTAGCCAAAGCATGAAAATCAGTTAAGGAATACCCTTTCTATGCCTTACGCTTCTAAACTTTCTCAATTTTCAGTGTCCACACTGCCTATTTGGAAATGTAATGTGAAATCTCGGTATTTCTTTATCCGTCTTCTTTACTCATTGTCTTTCTCTCCTTTCCCTTTTCTCTGTGCCAGTATTTAATTACCTGCTGTGTTTTAGGTACTGTTCTACATGCTGGGGATATAGTAGTGAATACAAGAAAGTTCCTGCTTGTTATAGATTTGTATAATTAGTTTTTCTTTCTACATTCATTGTTTTGGTATGTATATCATCTCTTACTAAAATATCAAACTAGATGAAACATCTTTGGAAACCGAAAGTATACTTACAGATTAAGTATGTTGTCAACTAGTTTTGGAAAAAACGAATCATATTTCTTTAAAACTCCTCAATTCACATATGAAGAAAATAATCCTTCACATGTATCTTAAATTATTTATAGGGAGAAATGCTCTTCACCTGGCTGCTAAGTATGGACATGCATTGTGCCTACAAAAACTTCTACAGGTAGTGGAAGTGGTTAATACTTTAGCTTTATTATTTTGACTACAAATCATAGATGTATTTTTAATGTGTTTCTGGAATTTTAGATCAAAGAGAATAGTAAACTAATTTTGACTATGAGCTTACATATTTTTTTCCATCATTTGTGAAGGAATGTGAACAATAAAGAGCAAAAACTCTGAGGGAAGTGAATTGCATAACTCGGTGTATTAAAAATAAATAACAAAGGCTTGACCTTCCTGTTGACATAGCTGAAGGCTGGAATTTTCTGTTGTCTAGACTATCATGTAAGATAAAGTAATACAACATAGGATCTGTATATTTCTATACAAACATAGATAACTTATACTACATAATATTATTACATTTTTAATCAGGTAACCACAAAATTCTAACTAGTTGGCTGAAGTTCCCATCAAAGATTTCAGTCATATATTTTTAAAAACATATTCACTACGTTTCATAGCAGAACTCACTTGCTTTTCTGATTCAGTATTTCAAGTTTTAATTCTTAGTGGAAAAAAACCCAAACAATACATATTTTCCTGTATTTCATACCATTCGTTATAATGTACCATATGTTTCCTGTTTGGTGAAATATTGTTAATTTAGTTATATAATGTTACTGTATTTGTTCCATGTCAAAATATTTAATGGATTGTCTGATAGTCTTTAGCTTCTTTGATAAGTGGAATATTTTAAGATTAAATAGCAGCTGTTCATCTGAGTCTGAATATCTAATTTTAAAATAAAACTCTCCTACTTTACTAAATTTTCTTTATTTTAACAGTACAATTGTCCCACTGAGCATGCAGACCTGCAGGGAAGAACTGCACTTCACGATGCAGGTGAGCAGAGGTTTCCCTTGGATACAAATATTTGTTAAAATGTTCTAGTCATTTGAATTAATTTCAGAGTTTTAACACATAGATATTTGTATAATTCATGGAGAAACAGAGTGTTAAAAATCCATATGCACAAATTAGAAATTTATTAGATTATACAGCTTAAAAAGATTCATTCAGTCAATATTTACAGGCCAGTCAGTTTGCTAGATACTAAAGGTACAAAGATAGATAAACTGTAATCCTGCTTACAAGGAGCTCCAAGCTGTGTGTATGTGTGTTTGTGAGAGAGAGAGAGAGAGAGAAAGAGAGAAACAGAGAATGTGTGTGTGTGTGTTTCATATCTTTGGGAACTGGAGAAATGGGAAGAAGACTTTCCTTAAACTATGTTTACCTAATTAACATGTCTGAACCTCTTTTTTCTCATTTGCAAAATGAAGTTAATAATACTACTGCAATAAGTAGTATTAATAAGTATAATCAAATCATAAGTAGTGCCTGGCACATAATAATTTCTTAATTAATGGTGATAGTTGTTCTCCTTTAGAGATGTCAATGCTGAATTTCATATCACTGTAATGCACTATATTTTAAAAGAGATTTATACTGATAATTTTTAGAGATTTTATTAATTATACTTGTGTGTCTAAATTTATTTGCATTATTCTTTAGGTGTCTTAAAGAAAGTACTTTGAAAAAAGTTATATATTTAGGTATTTTTGGAATGTAAGATAGCCTGACCTCTTGCTAAGTCTGATATTCCTACATTTAACTATAAGGCCAAAGGGAAAAAAACAGTCTACTTTCTCTTTTCATATATATGGAATATATGCAGTAGATTAAGGTGGTCTGCACTGAAGGCATATTATACTTCAAATTTCCTTCAAAATTTTATACCTTATTTTAAAAAAATTTTACTTTTTGTATTTTATGTGTTTGTATGATAATTTCTCACACAATGCATTTCTTTTCTTTTTTTAATATAGAAGGGTATTACTGTATTTGCAAAGCATTTTTCCATTATCATTTGAGCCTCACAGTGACCCCGTGGGTTAACTATATATTTTATTATCTCTGCTTTAAAAACTAGTACAACTTGACCAATTGAAATCTTAATGTTTATTAGTTAGATGCATTAGCTAGGATGGAAACTAAGTTGCTATAACAAAAGAACTCTAATATCAGATGCTTATTAAAAAAATTGTTGAGTGATATATATTGACAGGTCACTCATGGTCATTTTAAAACTGAATTCTTTCTATCTTGTTTCTCCACTTACCTCTGGGTATCTTCCTTAACTACGACGTTGAAGCAGAGTTGTGGTCATAGCCGTACTCTAGCTAGCAGGAAGGAGGAGAGAGCCTAGTGGAATACATGCCCAAAGTCTAGAGCTCAGATTTGAAAGTAGTAGATTATTCTCCATTCATATTCTACTGATAGGAGCAAAATCAACTGGCTATATTTATCTACAAAGGAGGCTCAGAAATAAACTCTCTAGGTGACTAGTCATATTCCACCTACTCTATAGTAGAAGAAGAGGAGAACAAATTTTGGTAAAATACTGCATTTTCTGCTACAGTTCAACCCTCTGGCCTTCCAAATATCTCCAAAGCCCCTACTTCCCACATACTCCCAAAGAAGAGGATGTATAAACCAACTCATTTTCTTCGTCTAGCTCAAAGTTTAGGATTTCTGGGTGGTATATACCATTTTCTCTTTTTGGTTTTAAGTGGTTCTTCATGGTCTAGTAATCTGTAAACTCTGGAATTTATTATGCTTTACATATTAAAATTCTCATTTATAATTGGACCTAAAGGGTAACTAATTTTACAGTTTCTGAATTAATGTATTCAAGTTCAGTTTATCTTTTTCTAAAAGCTGATTATACATTTTGTATAAAGATTTGCTGGATTAGAGACGAAAAGTGAAAATTTACTTGATTTTCTTATGTTTGGTTTAATTCTGTTATTTCACCAAAAAAAAAAAAAAAAAAAAGAATGCTCACTTTGTCAGTACTTTTTGTGCTTATAATTTATGTCAACTCATAAGGCTTAAAAAATTTGTGGGGATTGTAAACATAATCCTATTTTATGAATTTAACAATAAGTTTTCCTAATATAAATATGAACTATAGTGTTAGTCAAAGAAACATAATGTGATTTTATAATTATTAGCAAAATGATCTTACTTTGCATAAAGGTGGACATTGCAATCTCTGCTTTTATGAGAAATATGGATTGTATGATTCATACTTTACTTACTGTGACTGTTCTGTAAAAAACGGATATGATTCTTTAAAAAAACTGAGCCAACACTTCAAGGATCAAGTCAGTTATAGCCATGTTTAAAAATATACTGTAAGTACAAAATTTAACTTTGATTTTTATTATCTGTGCTTATCCTTAGAATAGTAGTGTGTTCTTATCTTCTCCAAGGTTGACATTATTCCTTGGTCCTAATAAATTGTAGACAATTTATAATATGATCTTGTCTAATCCATTTTCAGATGAAAAATTGATGCTTATAATGCTAAACTAAGAGTGAAGGATGTGAAGCTTGGTAGTTTAAAAACTGAAGAACTTATTCCTTATATGGACCTAGAAAAACACCATGTGTCTTACCAACAGGTGTTCACCATTTGTCATTTTCTTTTGTTCCTTAAAGCAATGGCAGATTGTCCTTCTAGCATACAGCTGCTTTGTGACCATGGGGCCTCTGTGAATGCCAAAGATGTAGTAAGTTAGTCTATGATGTTTATTCTCATTTCAACTAATGTATTCTAACTTCTACATTTTGGGAGATCTGTTGTCTTAATGCTGTTTTATTTTTCCTCTTGCTTAGGACGGGCGGACACCACTTGTTCTGGCTACTCAGATGAGTAGGCCAACAATATGTCAACTGCTGATAGATAGAGGAGCTGATGTTAATTCCAGAGACAAACAAAACAGGTAATTCTTTTATCATGGCTCCCACATACCAGCTGGATACACAGGGATGGAAAGGCCAAGTCAAAGCAGCAGCTCTGTTCTCTAACTTGGCCTTTCTTTCCCCTGGGTTCTCCCCTTCCCTGACTTGCTTTTCCTTGGAATTAACATCTACTTGTCAGTTTTCTTCAGAGTCTGCCGAAGAAAGAAGGAGGAGAGGGAAATAGAGGAAGATGACAGGGTAAATGTGAATAAAAGCAGTGATTAGGCCTTATGTTTGGCTCAAATAACTGAAGGAAAGAGGAATTTTATCCCAGGTGTTTTAAGCTTAAAAAACCCTTTAATGAAATGGGTGCAAGTAAGATACATAGGAGAAGAATTTAAAAAGTACATCTATAGTTACTTCTTCCTTAGTGAATCTTTTGAGTAAAGTGGTTCTTGAGTGTTCTGGAACTTGACATGTTTCAGTGTAGATTTTCTCAAGGTGTTTTCTCTCCTTACTCTGCCAGGGTACAGTGCCATCTCCTCTGAACCTGTCCATTTCTGTACTGCAGAGGTCCCTTGCTTTATTTTTGCTTCTGTATTTGATACTATTTTAGTTGGTGTGCTCTATTAATTTCTATCCAGAATTCTCCCTATCTCTGTCTGTAGGTCTAATGTATCATGGTGCTTGCTGTATTACAATTCTGATGTTTATGGTCACAAAGTATCTGAAATACACCCCTTCCATTTAATTCAAATATTACAATAAATTAAACTAAAATTTCTGGGATTTTTGTAGTTAGTTACTAGTAAACTTTTTGGTTTCTGTTGATTTAATTTTATCCTTACAAACATGTATTCTTTTGTTTGTAGTTTATTAGAAGTATAAAAGTATAAAAAATAGTCTTTAGTTGTCAGATTTTATAGCTGTAATTGTTTTCTTCACACATCTCAAAGGAGGAAATTCTTAAGCAATTAAATGATGTGATTAAGAAAGTGGCTTTTAAATATTATTTTCTTCTTGTGGATACTATCATCTGATTGCAAGCATGATGAAGAAAATTGGATTTTAACGTGGCAAAACCACATCTCTACCAAAAATATAAAAATTAGCCAGGTGTGGTGGTGTGTGCCTGTAATCCCAGCTACTCGGGAGGCTGAGGCAGGAGAATTACTTGAACTCAGGAGGCGTAGGTTGCAGTGAGCTGAGATCATGCCACTGCACTGGCAACAGAGCAAGACTGTGTCTCAAAAAAAAAAAAAAAAATTAAATTAAAATTTAGGATCAAAGATAATCTGGTTGATCTACATATAATGCTTTGTATTTTTTATAGCTCTTATATTTTTCAAAGCACTTTATCTGTGTTTTTTCATTGGGCATTCACAAAAGGCCAATGAGGCAGGGCAGTGTATATTGTATAGACTAAATAGCAGATGATTTTCAGCATAATTTATAACCTTAGTTTCTAATACTGTATATTCAAGGTTTCTTTTTTTCCTGTTTTATATGTAGCATTTTTTAAATAACAAAACTTTGTTAATGCCGGTTTTGTACAGAATTTCTTATCAGCAACTACAGGGGAGTTGGGGGACAGGCTGGAATATGAGAAACACAGCATACATAACAGAGAAAAGGCAAGAGTCAGTTTCCTTAAGAGATCCAATATTCACAGTTGAAGACAGAGTTAGATATAGGATATGTCATTTCATTTCATTACGTGTTGGTTAGCTCAACCCTAAAATATAGAGGATTAGACAAAATAATTTCTAGTGTCCTTCTAGATTTTCATGACAATTATTTTGTTGCATGATTAGTATTTGCTGATGTACTATGAGATGTTTGAGTGCCAGTGTTTCTACTGCAGCAGAATAAAGCAGTGATCCATGTTGCATGGGGTTAGTTGTAGTCTGAAGATGTGAAGGTGTCCAGGTAGAAGAATCAAGGTTCTTCTAAGCAGGAACATCAGGAATGGAATCTGATACTTCTCTTGGAGGAGAAGGGAGGTTTGCATGATGTGGTTCAGTTCATGAAGGGACTAGAAAAGCTGGGTTTTGAACATATGGAGTGACAGTATCAGCTGTGGAAAATTTTTGTGGTGATTATTTACTCGTAGGACATTGAAGAAGTGGAATAAATGAGGTTGGTTTGGGCCGGGCGCGGTGGCTCACGCCTGTAATTCCAGCACTTTGGGAGGCCGAGGCCAGCGGATCACGAGTTCAGGAGATCGAGACCATCCTGGCTAACACGGTGAAACCCTGTCTATACTGAAAATACAAAAAATTAGCCAGGCGTGGTAGCAGGCGCCTGTAGTCCCAGCTACTCTGGAGGCTGAGGCAGGGGAATGGTGTAAGCCTGGGAGGTGGAGCTTGCAGTGAACCGAGATCGTGCCACTGCACTCTAGCCTGGGCGACAGAGTGAGACTCCGCCTCAAAAAAAAAAAAAGAGGTTGGTTTGGTAGTAGAAGTAATTAAAGGACATAAGGACATAGAAAATTTTAGCTTTGCAAAGTAAGATACAAAGCAAATGTTTTTATAAATGCAATGAGTTTAAAATATAAAGTAAAATCTTTATTTGTAACAGGCTTGACTTCTTAAAAGTAGTGTCTATTCTTTACGAAGGGAGCCTCTGGCAGAATATTTCTGCAATATTTCCTTGGAGTTTTCTCAGTCTTTTGCTCTTCCATTTTTCCATTTAGAACTGCCCTCATGCTAGGTTGCGAATATGGTTGCAGAGATGCAGTAGAAGTCTTAATTAAAAATGGTGCTGATATAAGCTTGCTGGATGCGCTTGGCCATGATAGTTCTTACTATGCAAGAATTGGTGACAATCTGGACATTCTAACCTTGTTGAAGACTGCATCGGAAAATACCAACAAAGGTATCAGCAGTTTTCTGTAACTAGAAAAGTCCACGTTAACAAAGAGCCACTTTTTAAAAGACTTAGGTAGTAGAACTACAGTTTATAAGAAACAAAACATTCCTTACTGATAAACAGTATTGGTTCATCTCCCTCTACAACATGGGTTTGCTTACTTACATTATAGTCACTTGCTTTGAGGCAGTGTGTGTTGCATATATCATCTAGTTTATCCAGTGAACACTAAGACACTGGAATAACTTCAGAACTGAGAAGGAAGAGTCAAGTGTTTTACTAATTTTTTTTTTTTTTATGAGAAGGGGTGAACCTCCCAGCTTTTTATACTTAGAAAGTTTTAAAGAAAGAATCGTTGTTTAAACATGTATATAAAATATTAAGCTGATATTTATCAAATGCCTATGCCATGATTTTTTATGGTTTTTTTTTAAACAGGAAAATACAGAAAAGCACAATGAATAAAGTTAGTCACTCATTACCACTGAGGAGCCTCTGTTAACATTTTGAGAAATATCCTTCTAGTCTTTTCCCATAAAATTGAATTCACCTGTAAATCTGAATTGTAGCTTACTTTTTTATGTAACATATTTTGAAGACCTTTCCCTCAAAAATACTTTTTCTATAGTATGATTTTTATTGGTGTATGAGATTCTGTTTATTTAAGTTTCATTTAATAAAGCAATTTTCTACATGTAGTGTTTAAGCTATTTATAATTATTCATTAGTACACAAAGGTTGTGACTGTCCTTATGCATAAATATTTTAGTATATTTGTATTACCCTTTAGTGTCAGTTCCTAGAAATTGAATCACTGAGTTTCAGGGCATGTACATTTCTTTAAGCCTTTGGTCTATGTTGACAAATTGCCTTCCAATTTAGGAGGTTTTAAAATTTTCTCCCCCTCCTTTTTTTAGATATGGAGTCTCCCTTTGTTGCCCAGGCTAGAGTATAGTGGTGCCATCATAGCTCACTGCAACCTCAAACTCCTGGGCTCAAGCTGTCTTCCCGCCTTAGCCTCATGAGTAGCTGGGACTACAGGCGGGTACCGCAATGGCCAGCTAATTTTTTATATTTTTTTGTAGAGATGGGGTCTTGCTGTGTTGCCCAGGCTGGTCTTGAACTCCTAGCCTCAAGTGATCCTCCTGCCCCAGCCTCCCAAAGTGCTGGGACTACAGGTGTGAGCCACTATACCCATCCTAAATAAATTTCCCATTTTTTATCTGCCTCCCATCCTTAGTCTTTAATCCTACCTTCTTGAATGTTGGTATAAAAAACTTGCTAATTTGATAGGCAAAAGTGAGATTTCATTATTGTTTTAAGCATATGTTTTAGAAATAAAACTATAAAGTTGTAAGCTTTGGAGGAAACTCTAAAGTTTATTTATTCAATATTGACTCAATTGTATAGTTAGGGAATGTATATCTACACCAAGTTAACCTGCCATTTTGTTGTTTCTCTTTTTCTCTAAATCTTAGGGAGAGAACTTTGGAAGAAAGGACCATCTTTGCAACAGGTAGATATTAATTTTAATGTTAAAGAATTATTTCAGTTTAAAGTGCTTAGTAAAACTAGTTAATAGTTATGCATAACTATTCTGAGTTTTAATGCATTCTATCTCTCTTCTCAGTTAATCAAGCCCATGTAGATTCTGGGTACTTAGATCATGAGGTCCTATCAAGATACTGTCACTTAACTTGAGACAGTGGATCTCAGTTTCAGTGAAGGTGTCCAGTGGGAAAGAAATAGCCTCCTGATTGGGGCCGTGAGCATTCAACTTTTTCAAGTAGGAGACATTGTAACTTGTTAAATGATGATCTTTAGCTTGGCAGATCATAGACAGTTTCCCCCAGTCTCCCTTAATAATAGGACAAAATATTTACTGTTATGGGAAAATTCTTTAAATGTAATAAGAAATGAAGAAAACAGAGTTCTAAACTGATTATATATTGTGATTTCAATGCCACTGTTAGCGTTTTTATTTCTTCTTCAGTCTTTTTTTCTGTGTGTATTTAATTGAGGACTTTGCAGAATAACAACACATGAAACAATTCATGCTTTGCATTAAATTTATTATTAAAGTACTGTTTAACCCTGTTTTGATGTACCAGTTTGTGAAATGTCTTATGTTTTCTGCTAATCTATTTGTGTTCAAATAAGTGGGGTTAGTTTACAGTACTGTGGCTCAAAAGCTAGTGTAGGCAGCTTTCCTCTCCTGCTGACTGTTCCTTCCAGGCTTTCAACTTTTCTCTAGAGAGAGGAACCTAAGCATTTGCAAACCCTGAAGAGAAAGTAATCAGGTATCTTGAGCAATTCTGATCATCATCTTGTGTCATTTTTCTACCTCTCACCTGAATCTGAAAGCTACATTTTTTAAAAATTTTACTTTAAGTTCTGGGATACATGTGCTGACTGTGCCGGTTTGTTATATAGCTATACATGTGCCATGGTGGTTTGCTGCACTTATCATGAAAGTTGCATTAAAGCTTGTTTTCCTTTTCAATCCATCTGAGTTAATATGTTCATGCATGGTTCATGTCTGTTGGCACTTTTCCATCTGGAGCAACTGTTCCAGCCTTCTTCCCTGTGCCTCATATAACCTAAGTGTGAGTAGAGTGAAAAAAATGTACACTGCTATGACTGTACTAGCCATCTCACACAGAATCAGAGAAAAATGATTTCTGAAATGTATAGATATTTATAATAAAAAGAATTATTGAATATTAATATGGGAATGGTGCTCGGCTTAGTGCTCTAGGAATTATTGAGGTGAATATAAGGAGTTAGTATTCTACTAGGAACAGAAAGACACACTGCTCCTAATTACTGTGTTTCTATCATTTATTGAATATACTTACTAAATATATGCTGTAAATAGGACTTTTTTTTAAATACTAAGACACATGTAATCTCTGTTATCAAGAAGCCTACAGTACAGTTGCAAATGTAAGACTCACTCAATTTTTCACAGATATCTGTTGAACATCTACAACATGCCAACTACTGTTCTAAGTGCTGGAAATATTGTAGTGTACGAAGTCTCTGTCCTTATGGAGTTCCTAGCTTAGTGAGAGATGAACAATAAGCAAAGGAATATTTAGTATCATAGCAGATGCTATGAAGCAAAACAAAACAGAATTAAAGGATGAAGAGGGAGTGGGTGGAGGTCTGTGGGAGAAGCCTCACAGGCTGAGGGAAGGGCAGGTGCCCATCCCCTGGTGAGGGAGCAGGTTAGACATGTTCATGGAGCAGCAGCAGACAAGTGCGACAGGAGTGATGTGCCCATCGTGGAGGGAGCAGAAGAGGCTGCTAAAGGAACAAAGTGCTAGATTAAGAAGGACCTTGTATGATAAGGACTTTGGATATGTACCCACCAGTAACTACCAGATGGCAGAAGGCAGGACGTATGCCCCCTAATCAGTGGTGCATGTGATCAGATCGCTGCTAAGTGGAGCCAGAGGTGCAAGAGAGGTTCTTTTAGTGTGCTAATAACAAGATTTGTCAGGAAGATGGATTTTAATTAAAGGATGGGGTTGACTTAATATGTCTGAGTTAAGGTATAGTGGAGGCAGTGGGAGAGGATTCTGAAGTGAAGACTGGGAATGAAAGTGGTATTATCAGGTGAGCTGTGAGAAGATGTCAGATTCCACTTGAAGAACAGTCCTTTGGTAGAAGGAATGAGGCTGGAAACATAGTTAGGGCCAAATTGTGGACATAGAATATTTTTCAAATGGGACTTGTTCCTCTGGTTCTAGATCCAAACTCATTTGAATGATAGTTTAAAAACTTGTTCAAACAAAGGTAAACAAATAATACAAAACATGAGAAAATTATCTCGAAGAATTAAAGCAGTAGTTTTTTTTTTTTAAACTAATTAGGAAGAAAGAAATAGCTTTCTACATTAGTTATTGTGGAGATTTAAAGATCATTTTGGTTTTTTTAATAGGGGAGTTATTTGTTCTCTTGTTTAATGATTATGTTGTGTTTTTGTTAAAGCAAATCTCTAAGCTGGAATAAAGTTTCAAAGCAGTAAGTTACAAAAACAACATATACCCAACCAAGTTATTTAGAGACCTTTTTATATTGCTCGGGTCAGAGGGACTGTCTGTCTCTTCCTTACCATACCTCTTGATATTTTATTTTGATGGTGCTCAGAGAAGTAAATAATTTCCATATTGTCTTTCAAAATTTATGTGACTTCCCCTTCTTCCTCCTCGTTTTTTTTTTTAAGTTGAGTTCTTTTAGGAGTAATTGGCAATGCAGTGCTTTATAGCCCCAACTTTTGTTATGAGTTTATTACAAATTCTTCTTTTTAAAATTTTGTGACTTTAGTTAAAATAAATCCTTAATCATATTTTAAAATTTGTTATTTAGTATTTTTAAATAAATTATACTTGATTTATTTAAAATATAATCTTAAGGTCCTTTACATTTGGGGTTTTAAATAGAAACACTGCCACCTTGTGTTATGTGCAGCTAATGTTAGATAAACTGAAAATCACTAACCTGGTGTATTGCCAATTGAGGAAAATATACTTTTCTGTATTCTCACACTTGCTGACCCGTGTTTTCTTATGTTTTACCAAAGCGAAATTTGACACACATGCAAGATGAAGTAAATGTGAAGTCACATCAGAGGGAGCATCAAAATATTCAGGTAAAAAGAAAAAAATGTGGTATCTTCCTTTAAAAACAATTCCAGTATTTGTAGTGGGATTGAGAGAGAAGAGAGGAAACAAGCGAGTGGGTGAAATGAGCGGGGCAAAGAAAGGGAAACTCGTTAACGTTGTTTGTGATTCTCTTTTTTGCCTAATCTCTTCTTATTTTATATTTATTTATTTGTTTATTTATTTTGAGATGGGATCTGGCTTTGTTGCCCAGGCTGGAGGGCAGTGGCACCATCTCGGCTCACTGCAACCTCTGCCTCCCAGGTTCAAGTGATCCTCCTGCCTCAGCCCTTCTAGTAGCTGGGATTACAGGCATGTGCCACCATGCCTGGCTGATTTTTGTATTTTTAGTAGAGATAGGTTTCACCATGTTGGCCAGGCTGGTCTCGAACACCTGACCTCAGGTGATCCACCCGCCTCAGCGTCCCAAAGTGTTGGGATTACAGGTGTGAGTCACCGTGCTCGGCTGCCTAATCTTGTCTTAAAGAATTGACTTTTGTTATCAATGTTTGAGTCCAGTATTATAAAATTTAATTATATAACACTAGAAGTATGGTGTAGAAAGTATTGTTTTAATATACATTAGAAAAAGCAACTTTATATAACTATTTGATTTAAATGTGTCTGTTTTGTGATATAAACCATACATTTGTGTTTGTTTTGGAAAATAATACTATTAAAAATGATGATCATTAATGTAAATTAAATCTGATTTTTTTCTTGAAGTATTTTCTATTTTGATTGAGAAAAATAATTTTGTTAAACTAACCACACAGTACTTTTTAGCTTTTATATTGGTCAAAGTTTCCAAATAATCTTATGAGGATTATTTTAGAGGAAGGACCCATAATTAATTTTATGACTAAAACACTGTTAAATGATAAATTGAATAGCTGTTTTCAGAATAATAAAAGCATTTTATTTGAGTTTTCTTAGTTTCATATGTAGTGTAAGAAAATGAACTATGTCCTTAAATTCGAGCCTTTATCTTTTACCAGAGCACTGAAAACGATGATAAGTTCAACAAAAACATTAGAAGAGTCTCATAAATTTGGGAGGTCTTAAGCAAAAGTTAAAATGGCATATTCTTTTGCTCTTTTCTGTGTCTGGATGCTTTTTATTTTTTCTTTATTGGAATTATGATGATTTGCCCTCTTGTAGTATATACTTGTATTTATTAGCTATTATAGGATAATAATTTTCTATTTTATTTTTGATCTGTAGATTTTAAATCCTTGGCATATCATTGAAATTATTGTGTCTTTGTAGTTAGTGTTTTACATGCGTATGTACCTGTATGACAGTGAACTGCTTTTTAAAAAATTTCTTCTTTAAGAATTTGCTCTTTTAAGATTGGCCTGGCACCTTGTTGTCTTATTATTTAAGGATTTGGAGATTGAAAATGAAGATTTGAAAGAGAGGTTGAGAAAAATTCAGCAAGAACAACGAATACTTTTGGATAAAGTCAACGGTTTACAGTTACAGCTGAATGAGGTAAATAAATCTGCATAATAAAAAATCAAAAAACTGTCTTACTACATCATCAATAGCAAATTGTTAATGATTGTTTAAGGTAAAATTAGCTCATTGCATTTCAGGGGAGTTAAATCTTACTGGGGACCAGGCTTTTTACATGAAATTTTACATTTAAAGTAGCATAAGCAAACAAGTAAGGACAGTGTAAAGAATGTTCAGGAAAGTGAGGAGAGATCATTGTGGGCTGCCGCTTCTGAGGGGGGCACTTCCTGTGGGAGATGGTACTTCTGTTGAATTTTGAAGGAAGTAAGGGGGAATCAGAGGGCATTCTAGAGAACACTGTGGTGAACAAAATCACAGAAGCAGTGACCTGTAATATATTCCTTGTTGTATAAAAAAATTGGAAATACAAGAAATATCCATGAATCATTTTCTTAGAGGGAAAGTAGAATATATATGAAATCTAGTATAATCAGTTCACTCTTTAAATATACATTTTATTATGTACAGGACTTACCACAGGTGAAATCTTATGTGATATTTGCATTTCAAAAGTAAGAAGTAACTGCGTGATTGGTACAGCTGTGTCCTTCTGATTCTAATTTTCTGTATCACTTTAGTATCTTGCTATCTATGTTAGATTTTCCTAAAATTGAACATACGCAAAAGCAAAAGGCTGAACTATAGTTAGGGCCATGGGATTGGAGAGAAAAGAGTAGACAGGAGATATGAGGACAAAGAACAAGTAGGACTGGTTGGTTGATAGATTCTCAAGAGAATCAAAAGTGCTTCTGAACCTGGATAGTGAGAAGAATAAAAGACAACTCATACAACAGAATTGGTAGTACATTATCTTCTTCTCATATCCTTGGCCCCAGTCTTAAAGACATGTGCCAGTCTTTTTAAAAGATCTTTGCCAAGTTCATGCCTTTTAAAATAAGCTTTTAAGAATGAAAATATTTTGTCTTCTTTTTAAATTTAGGAAGTTATGGTTGCTGATGATCTGGAAAGCGAGGTAGGATGACATTTTATTTTAAACCATTAAAATTGTTTTAGGAATTGAAGATGCTATAGTACTAAAAGTTTAAGTCCTGAATTGAGATACAGACCAGGATTCTATTTCTGGTTATTAAAGGGAAATTCAAAATCTACACATGACTATAAAAGGATGTTTTGAATATAGTGGCATAGGTTATTGTAGGCATTTTGTTGTTATTGCTTCTGAAAGTCTTACTTTCTGTGAAACTTGTCCTGAAAATAATGTAAAATTCTAAACATAAAGAAATGTCTGAAAACATTAAGATTGAAAACAGAGATTTGAATTTTTTATGATTTTGTTTATAAATATTGTATGTTTCATTAGTATATTTGTAGAAATTATCAACTCTACTAGTAGAGTTCACCAGGTTGGAGAATTCATTAACTCCAGTCCTTAATGTAATTCCAATTCATGTTTTCTAAAACAGGTTTTTAACCCAATTCCAAGCACAGGGTTATTTTACTCTATTTATTCTGTTTCATTTCAGAGAGAAAAGCTGAAGTCCCTTTTGGCAGCTAAAGAAAAGCAACATGAAGAAAGCTTAAGGACTATTGAGGCTCTGAAAAATAGGTTTAAATATTTTGAGGTATAGAAAGGTTAAATTATTTCCTATAACTCATAATGGGTAATGGTAAGGGGCTTGGCAGCAGACTTGAATTTGAATTATAAATCTCTTATTTATAGTGTGACCTTGGGCTGCTTATTTAAAGTCTTCGAACCTGTTGCCTTTTTGGCAAAACTGGGGTGATTGTCTCTTTCTCCACATAGTTATAAAGGTTAAGATCATTTAAATTGACTAGCATGTAATCGACATTTAGTGTCATTCTAGTTTCTCTTCATTGTCCATCCTTACCTTTTTAAAACATCATATTTCTACCTGTAAATTTGCAGTGAGTATAATGATAATAAAAAGCATTCATAAAAATGAACAGTGATATGTCCAGGATTGTCTCAGAAAGGAGTCATCACTGGGCATCACTGAAGGTGGCTGATTCAGCATGAATCTTTTATCTTTGTTGGTGAATGCAGCCCCAAAGTACACTAAAAAAGTGTCTTAGTCCATTTGTGCTGCTCTAACAAAATACAGAAAATTTGTAAAGAACAAATTAATTTCTCACAGTTCTGGAGGCTGGAAAGTCCAAGATCAAGGATCTGGCGTTCATGTCTGGTGAGGGCCTTTTGCTGCATCTTCTCCTGGCAGAAGGCAAAAGGGCAAAAAGGGGCCTAAGTGAAGCCCTCATGACTTGATCAGTTTCCAAAAGGCCCTACCTCGTAATACCACCACAGTGGGAATTAAGTTTCAACACATCTTGGCAGACATTCAGAGCATAGCAAAAATAATATTTTTCTTTAAAAATAAAGAACTATGTGTGCATTATGAAAAATAATATAAAACATGTATGAATCTCACAGACAATGTTGCAAGAGAGAAATCAGACATGAAGAGTACATACTGAATGATTCTATTTTTATGAGGTTCAAAAGCAGATACAACTAATCTATGATGTTAGAGATTAGAATAGAGGCCACCCTTTGGTTGGGGTTACGAGTAAGGTGTGTGAAGAAACTTTTGGGGTCCTGGAAATATTTTATATCTTAATCTGGGTTGTGTATAATTACAAAAGGTATGCATATGCAAAAATTCATTGTATTATACACATTTAATATGTGTACATATTTATGTGACTGAATTTTCAAGATTATTCAGAAACACCATTTTATAAACCAAAAAATGATCTAGCTATAGTGGCTTCTGTCTTCACATTTGAAGACTCTTTTTTAGGTTAATTGTGAAACTGATGATTGCTAATATTTTAATAGCACTGACCAATGTACTTTGCATTCTTGACGTGCATGAAAAAAGAACTCTATGTGATAAGTTTTATTATTACCTGACTTCACAGATAAGGAGGTTGAGGCGCAGAGAGGTTTACCCATGAGGGGTTTCACAAATAGTAAGTGACAGAGTCAGGATTTGAATTCAAGCATTTGACTCCTTTGTGCTTTTAACTACAATGCTAGTTTTACACTTAGAATTACTTGAATGAGAAAATTTAGGAGTATATACAGGGCCTTTTAAGTATTAATCAAAGTTTGGCACCTATAACTTGGGTATTATTTATGTATATATTTCTTCTAGGAGCTAGCTTTTCTGCATGTCTCAAGTGTAAGATGTAGGCCAGGCGCAGCATCTCACACCTGTAATCCCAGCACTTTTGGGAGGCCACGGTGGGTGGGTCACTTAAGGTCAGGAGTTTGAAACCAGCCTGGTCAACATGGAGAAACTCCATCTTTACTAAAAATACAAAAATTAGCAGGGCGTGGTGGCACATTCCTGTAATACCAGCTACCCAGAAGGCTGAAGCAGGAGAATCGCTTGAATCCGGGAGGCAGAGGCTGCAATGAGTGAGATCACGCCACTGCACTCCAGCCTGGGTGACAGAGTGAGACTCTGTCTCAAGGGGAAGAAAACAAAGGTGTTTTTCTGTAGCTTTAGACACACTGTCTGTCTTAATTGTCAAGTCTATAACTTACCGTAGTCATAAAAGTAACTTATTTTTCTTATAAAAATACATATTTACTTCAGAAAAATAAGAAAATATATTTAAACTGAAAGCATATGCAAAAGACACCTATAATCTTAACTCTGCTAGCACCTGACTGAAATCCTTTCAGACACCTGCACATAATTTGTGTGTTATATACTCATTCAACAGGTGGGATCATATTGTACATCTTGTTTTGTAACTGTTCCCATTCAGTATGATGGGGACATTTTCCTCAGTCACTACATACTCATTGTGATGAATATTTATGCTAGCAATGATTTTTTACTTTCAAACAGAAAATTACAGGTCCCACTTTATACATGACCTAGTATTTATAACAGCAACCATTAAAAACTACTAAGAATTTGCCTGGACATGGTATCTCAGCCTGTAATCCCAACACTTTGGGAGGCTAAGGTAAGTGGATCACTTGAGCTCAGGTGTTCGAGACCAGCCTGGGCAACATGGTGAAATCCTGTCTCTACTAAAAACACAAAAATGAGCTGGGCGAGGTGGTGCATGCCTGTAATCCCAGCTACTTGGGTGGCTGAGGAAGGAGAATCACTGGAACCCAGGAGGTGGAGGCTGCAGTGAGCTGAGATGGTGCCTCTGCACTCCAGCTTGGGCAGCTTGTTTTGAGACCCTGTCTCAAAACAAACAAACAAAGCAACAACAAACTACTAAGAATTCATCACTTACTACAAACATTGAATATCTACTGCTGTATTATCTCACATGCTTAAAAAACCTTAACTGTTAAAAGAATTACTGGTATGAGTTATGTATAATAACTTAACATGTAGCTATTTCCCTTGTGTGTATAAAAATATGGAGAAAATGGATAGTTTAGAATGAGACTGATTTTATGTTACAACTTTTATGTTTGTTTTCATTTGAGTAATAAAGGTAATAAGACCAAATTAAGTTTTTTGAACTCCTTATGTGCATAGCACCCCCTTATGCATGTATGAGGCCATTTAGGAGTTATTGTAAACTTTAGTATTAAATATTCCATAGAACAAAGAGCTTAACTAAGCCTATAGGTATTTTTTCATACCGTGGGGGCACTAATGATTAAAGGAGGTGGCATTAATTTAGTCATGGAATTGTGGACTGTTTTATCATGGTCGACTACTTCAGAGTTTGGTATGTAGCTATTAGGACTGATACACCTAAATACACAAATATGAACTGTATCTGCCTGTCCTTACTCTTCATTTCACTCTGGGGTTTTTGTTTTGTTTTGTTTTTGAGACAGGGTCTCACTGTCTTACCCAGGCTGGAGTGCAGTGGTGTGATCACCACTCACTGTAGCCTTGACCTCCCCGGGCTCAGGTGATGCTTCCACCTCAGCCTCCTGAGTAACTTGGGTTACCCTGCCCAGCTAATGTTTCTGTGTGTGTTATTGATTGATTGATTGATTGAAGTTTCACTCTTGTTACCCAGGCTGGAGTGCAATGGCACTATCTCGGCTCACTGCAACCTCCGCCTCCCAGATTCAAGCAGTTCTCCTGGCTCAGCTTCCCTAGTAGCTGGGATTACAGGTGCCCACCACCACGTCCAGCTAATTTTTTGTATTTTTATTAGAGACAGGGTTTCACTATGTTGGCCAGGCTGGTCTTGAGCTCCTGACCTCAGGCAATCCACTCGCCTCAGCCTCCTGAAGTGCTGGGATTACAGGAATGAACCACCGTGCCTGGCTCGTTTTTGTATTTTTTTGTAGAGAAGGGGTCTTGCCACGTTGCCTAGGCTGGTCTCAAACTCCTGGGCTCAAGTGATCTACCTGTCTCAGCCTTCCAAAGTGCTGGGATTACAGGTGTAAGCCACTGCACCTGGCGTATTCTTACTCTTGAAGTGTAACATTTTAATTTATATATTAGATTCTTTGTATTGGGCTTACTTGGGAAAAGGAGCAACCCAGTATATTTTGATTCACTGTATCTGGAGTTTCTCTATTATTTCCTAACTAATGGATTGATGGATTTATTACTATGTGTAGGTCTCTGCCTCAGTTTCATTTCCTGCTCTCTGTCTCATTTTACTTTCCAAGTACTTGGTATTTTATAAACTCTGGAAGAAGAGGTTATGTCGATATTTCATAGTCAATGAGGTAGGGTTTCTGCTTCCTACAATGGTAAAGTAAAATGAGTTATTGACATGAATGTGGCCACTTCCTTCCTTTTGAGGTAAAGCAGTAGCAAACAGTAGTTTTTGAAAGTTGTTTCAGTTCATTTAGGGCTTACTTTTTTTTTTCTTTTGAGCAATGAAGTTTTTCCTTAAAACGCTTGACTGCTTTTTTTAAAATGCTTAGTGAAGTACTTTATTCCCACCTGATCTCTCTAAGTGTTGCTAGTGTTTCTTTTTGTGGGTTTGAGTAGAATAATGCTCTGGAGAAACAGGAATGTCAAAAATGTAGTTTTAATGACTACATCATTTAGAGCTAAAACAGATACAGAATTTAACAAAATGAGGCAGCATTCACCCTAAAATGTTTTATGCTTCTGATTTCAGAGTGATCATTTAGGATCAGGAAGTCATTTCAGTAACCGTAAGTATAAAAGTATGGATTATCATTACAGTTCACCTAGTTCAAGCAAAGAAGAATGTTTATTCTTACTTGTTTAACTATACAGAAATAACTGTACAAGATATTCCTGCTGCTAAACTTCATCAACACATGTAACTAAGAAGACGTTAAGATGACTATTGTAACTTCTAACATATTCTGATAATTGCTGAAGCTCTGATTCTCCTTAGCTACCTGTATTTTAAAATTGTATATTGTATGAATTACCAAATTTGCCTTGTTGATTAGTAGATATAGACATTCGTCTTGTGATATTTAGGCTTCATTTTTTTATGGGAAGAACATAAACACAGTTTTCTAATTTGGAGAAATCAGTCTCAATGCAAGTAGGCATTTTAAGATTACATGTTCCATAAACATGAATTATTTTTAGACTCTACATAATTAATCTTTTTTATTCTGCAATGTTAAACAATTTTCTTTAGAAAATCTGTTTTTGTTTGTTTCCTAGTGACTATTAAACTATCCTCTCGTACAACAGTAATATTTATGCTATAAATTTGAAAGAATATCATTTTTGTTTTGATTATAAGATACGTTTTATTATCATGTAGCCTAGTTTGACAGTCTTCGATGTTTCTGAAATCTTAGTGATTCTGCTGAGAGAGAGCGTAGAAAAAAAATAAGAAAAAAATAAAAACCAACCTAGTATCTTTTGTTCAGTAGATTGTAGGTACTTCTGTTTATAGAAATAATAAGGGAAAAAAGGGGATATTTTAGAATGAGGATACTTTTATGTTGTACCTCTTGCTTCTCTTTTATTTGAATAATAAGGGAAATAACATCAAATTAATGTTTAGCCTACTTTAATATGGATATTTAAGTTAAAATGTCATTTATATGGATTTATTTAGGAAAAGAAGATATGCTTCTTAAACAAGGTCAGATGTATATGGCAGACTCACAGGTAATATCCGTTTTTTTTTTAATTTTAAAAAACATTTAAAGAAAATTTCTGTGCCTTTATAAAGAGGAGAAAGTAGCATTGTAATAGAGTGAGGTTTTCATTATCAAAGACAGGTTGGTCCTGCTTTCTTGAGTTTAATAAAAACAGATATTGCTGTTTCTGGTGCCCTCTAGAGTGTTTTTGATGATAGTGGTTATAATAAGAGATTTGAATTGCAGTTTCATTGCATTTGATGCTAAGTTTCTGTTCATTAACAGTGGTCAGTTAACTCTTCATATTTGCCCATATAAAGGGGAGGACAGATATGAATAATTCAGAGTTAATTTTTTTTTTTCCTCTTGATCCAGGGGAAAGGCAGTTCAGATTTAACTAACAGTAAATCTGTAGGGATCTGCAGCAAGCTCTATCCTTGCCTCCTCAGTGGAAAGGATTCGGCTGAGGGGCAGAAGTAGGTTCAAGGCAGAGGGAGAGACCAAGGGAAGTTTTAGGGCAGGAGCGAGTTTATTAAAAAGTGTTAGAGCAGGAACAAAAGGAAGCAAAGTACACTTGGAAGAAGGCCAAGTGGGTGGCTTGAGAGATCCCAGTGCTCTTGTTCAGCCCTTGGCTTGGGATTTTTATACACTGGCTTGGTTTTGGGTTTGCATTTCTCCTCCCTTGATTCTTCTTTTGGGGGCAGGCTGTCTGCATGCGTAGTGGCCTGTCAGCACTTAGGAGGGTCCACACATGTAGTGCCTTTACTAAGGTTGTGCACATGCTCTCTAGAGGCTGTTTTCCTTTACCAGTCAAATGCCCCTGGAAGAAGGTCATACATCCACCATTTTGCCTCTTAGTGTGCATGCTTGAGCCTGCTCACCCAGCTCCGGAGATCTTATCAGGAAGCGGCTGTCATCAGCTCCAGGTGTTTTCTATCTATTGGGAGACTCTTTCCCGGGTGCTGGCCGTGACCAATCATTCTCTTGACAACTCTGATAACTAGCTGGGTTTATTTTGGTGGTATTTTTATAATTTAGAGAATATTCTGTTGTTTTAACAGTGAAAGTACACAGAAGGCAAAAATCTTATTAGAAGTTAAATCTATAATTCTATGAAATCATCTGCACATTTAAAATGACAATACTTGTTTTTATTCAAGGTTATGATGGTTTGCTTCAGAATTTGAAGTTCTAAGCACATTATGTGCCATAAAACATATAAATAATAAATACATTTTGATAAAGTTGTGTTATTCATGTGTGGGTAGGTGTTATGAAAGGGGAAAGAAAGACAAAATAGCACCCAGTAGCCATGACCGTTTTCCCTTGTTCTGCCAGAAATAGACTTATGTGAACAGAGGTCTGAAAATGTTGTGAATGTATTAAGGAAATCATATCCAGAACTGTTTTCTTACTACAAAAATCAGCATTGTGTTTTTTTTCCATCTTACTACCTAGTCTGATAACACTTTGACTCCTGATGATGTGCAAACTTTCTCTAAGTTTGGCAAATAAGTATAGTAAATGTCTCATTTAGACTTTTGTGATTGATGTCTTTTTGTTTTTTTCTTTTCAGTGTACTTCCCCAGGTATACCAGCCCATATGCAAAGCAGATCTATGTTAAGACCTCTGGAGCTATCTTTACCCAGTCAAACATCATACTCCGAAAATGAAATTTTAAAGAAAGAGTTAGAAGCAATGCGAACTTTCTGTGAGTCAGCAAAACAAGACCGACTGAAGCTCCAAAATGAACTGGCACACAAAGTGGCAGAATGCAAAGCTTTAGCATTAGAATGTGAAAGAGTCAAGGAGGATTCAGATGAACAGATAAAGCAATTAGAAGATGCATTAGAAGATGTGCAGAAGAGGATGTATGAGTCAGAAGGTAAAGTTAAACAAATGCAGACCCATTTTCTTGCCCTTAAAGAACACTTAACAAGTGAAGCAGCCTCAGGGAATCACAGACTAACCGAGGAACTGAAGGATCAGTTGAAAGACATGAAAGCAAAATATGAAGGTGCTTCAGCAGAAGTGGGGAAATTAAGAAACCAAATCAAACAAAATGAGATGATAGTGGAAGAGTTTAAGAGGGATGAAGGCAAGCTGATAGAAGAAAATAAGCGATTACAGAAGGAACTTAGTATGTGTGAAATGGAGCGAGAGAAGAAAGGAAGAAAGGTCAAAGAGATGGAAGGCCAGGCAAAAGAATTGTTAGCAAAGTTGGCCCTTTCCATTCCAGCCGAAAAATTTGAAAACATGAAGAGCTCATTATCAAATGAAGTGAATGAGAAAGCAAAAAAATTAGTAGAAATGGAAAGAGAACATGAAAAATCCCTTAGTGAAATTAGACAGTTAAAGAGAGAACTTGAGAATGTTAAGGCCAGGCTTGCTCAGCACATCAAACTAGAGGAACATGAACAGGTTAAGAGCAGATTAGAACAGAAATCAGGAGAACTTGGGAAGAAGATCACTGAGTTAACATTGAAAAATCAGACACTACAAAAGGAAATTGAAAAGGTTTATCTGGATAATAAGCTCCTCAAGGAGCAAGCACATACCTTAACAATTGAAATGAAAAATCATTATGTTCCTTTAAAAGTAAGTGAAGACATGAAAAAGTCACATGATGCAATTATTGATGATCTTAATAGAAAGCTTTTAGATGTAACACAAAAATATACAGAAAAGAAGCTGGAAATGGAGAAATTGCTACTGGAAAATGACAGCTTAAGTAAGGATGTGAACCGCCTAGAAACTGTGTTTGTACCTCCTGAGAAACATGAAAAAGAGGTAACAGCTCTGAAATCCAATATTGTTGAACTTAAGAAACAATTGTCTGAACTTAAGAAAAAATGTGGTGAAGACCAGGAGAAAATACACGCTCTCACATCTGAAAACAGTAACTTGAAGAAGATGATGAGTAATGAGTATGTGCCAGTTAAAACCCATGAAGAGATTAAAATGACACTGAATAACACATTAGCTAAAACTAACAAAGAATTATTAGATGTGAAGAAAAAATTTGAAGATATAAATCAGGAATTTGTAAAAATAAAAGATAAGAATGAAATATTAAAAAGAAACCTGGAAAACACTCAGAACCAAATAAAAGCTGAGTACATCAGCCTGGCAGAGCACGAGGCAAAGATGAGCTCGCTAAGTCAGAGCATGAGAAAGGTGCAGGATAGTAATGCTGAAATACTGGCCAACTACAGAAAAGGCCAAGAAGAGATTGTGACACTGCATGCCGAAATTAAAGCCCAGAAGAAGGAGCTCGACACAATACAGGAATGCATTAAGGTAAAATACGCCCCAATTGTCAACTTTGAGGAGTGCGAGAGAAAATTTAAAGCAACAGAGAAAGAACTAAAAGACCAGTTATCAGAGCAGACACAGAAGTATAGTGTCAGTGAAGAAGAAGTCAAGAAAAACAAGCAAGAGAATGATAGGTTAAAGAAGGAGATTTTTACCCTTCAGAAAGATTTGAGGGATAAGACAGTTCTCATTGAGAAGTCTCATGAAATGGAAAGAGCATTAAACAGAAAAACAGACGAGCTAAACAAACAGTTAAAAGACTTGTCACAGAAATATGCAGAAATAAAGAATGTGAAAGAGAAGCTAGTAGAAGACAATGCCAGACAGACCTCTGAGATACTTGCAGTGCAAAATCTTTTGCAAAAACAACATGTTCCATTGGAACAGGTTGAGGCTCTGAAAAAATCTCTTAATGGCACAATTGAAAATCTAAAGGAAGAATTGAAGAATATGCAAAGGTGTTACGAGAAAGAGCAGCAGACAGTGACTAAACTGCATCAGTTGCTGGAGAATCAAAAGAACTCTTCTGTACCCCTGGCAGAGCATTTGCAGATTAAAGAAGCATTTGAGAAAGAAGTTGGAATCATAAAAGCTAGCTTGAGAGAAAAGGAAGAAGAAAGCCAAAACAAAATGGAAGAAGTCTCCAAACTTCAGTCTGAGGTTCAGAATACTAAACAAGCATTAAAAAAATTAGAGACTAGAGAAGTAGTTGATTTGTCTAAATATAAAGCAACAAAAAGTGATTTGGAGACACAGATTTCCAGCTTAAATGAAAAATTGGCCAGTCTGAATAGAAAGTATGAGGAAGTATGTGAGGAAGTTTTACATGCCAAGAAGAAGGAAATATCTGCAAAAGATGAGAAGGAATTACTGCATTTCAGCATTGAGCAAGAAATCAAGGATCAGAAGGAACGATGTGATAAGTCCTTAACAACAATCACAGAGTTGCAAAGAAGAATACAAGAATCTGCTAAACAAATAGAAGCAAAAGATAATAAGGTAGGTACAAAGTAGTCCGCATGACTATGTGTTGGAAACCCAGAGCAGCACTCTTTACCACAGAATCTCACAGGAAAGTAGACACAGGTAGTAACAAAGTGACCATTAGACACACCCTTTCCAGTTTGGCAACTTGTGTGCAAAAATTCCGAATTGAAAAAAAGTGAAGTAATGCAAACAAAAATCAAAAGCATTTTTCCTTCTGTTTGTTTAGCTGTTCTAGCCAAGAATGAGGAATGATGGGGAGACTTAAGGCTCACTTGTCTCACAGATGAAGAGTCAAAAGCCAGTGGGTTTGTGGCATGTGAAAGGTGGGGAAGAGGGTGGTGGGGAAGCTCTCATTCTGGGTTGCAAGAAACCAAGAACACTGGGGAGCATCCAGAGTTGATCTTGGCACTCACCCGTAGTAGTAAACTGAGCCCTCCAATTCATTTTATGTTCTGTTGCTCATGTCTTTCTACAGACTAGTTCCCTCACCCAGAATGTCCTTTCCCTCCTTTCTACTGAGTTGAATCCTATACATTCATTAACATGTTATCCTCCTTAAGCCCTCACTGTCCAATCTAGTCTATGGTAAACAGTTCCTCCTCTAAGATACATGTTTTTTTGTGGCTTTGCCATCCCTTTAAAACATGTATATTACCTTGTTAGAATTATGTAGTTGATCTGCCCAGTTTTTATGAGCAGGGTTTATAACTTAACTTTCCATCTTATCTTTAATTCTCATGGTACAATTTACAGACAGGTACTCAACAATATTTTTGCCACTAGTATTTATAAAGTTTTTACTATGGAGATGACATATAAAGACTGACTGCAGTTTTATCCATTCAACATGTAATGATTAATTGCCTTCTACATATCATGTGCTGGGGATACAGTGCAGTAAACACAGACACAGACTGCCCTCCCCATTGGAAAGTATTTGTACATACTATCCTCTGGCCCACCATCTCTGTGATTGAGAATTTAAATGCTCTAAGCTTGTTCAGAAGGTAGCTATGAATATATATAGTAATATATATTACTATATAAATATACTTATAAATTTAAATATATTATTATACTTAAGTATAAGTAAATATACTTATAAATTGTAAGAGCTAATTATTAATATCTACTTGTTGCCATTTATTGAGCATGTGCATATAATTGCATTTGATTTTCTTTGTTTTTTTGTCTATTATTATTTTTCAATAAAAAATGTTGCAGGGGAGGAGATGGAGTCTTGCTATATTGCCCAGGCTGGTCTTGAATTCCTGAGTTTAAACAATCTTCCTGCCTTAGCCTCCCAAAGTGTTAGGATTATAGGTGTGAGCCACTGTGCCCAACCTGATTTTTTTAACTCTGAAAGATTGTCCACCTTTCATCAATGTGGCATCTAAGGCTCAGCAAAGTAAAGGAAATTAGTCAAGCTCATACAAGTCAACTCTGTCTGAATTTAAAGCAGGGGGGAAAATGCTTTGTTTCTAGGCACTTCCTATAAACAGCCTCCTTGTTTTTTTTTCTTCTCGACAACAAAGTAGTCTTAAATAATACAACTCTTGAAAGGAAAAAGGAACATATGTTAGACTTACATGGGCCACACCCTTTTACTTTTCACACTTTGTTGCTGGGAATCTCCCTTCCCTTCCTGTGTTCCATATGTTACCTGGAAGATAGTTCATGTGCCTTCATAGATACTTATAATCTAAAAGTAAGAAGACTATGTTTATACTCACATCTTAGGATATATGTAATATTTATTGTAATCTGGTATTGCTTTTGTAAAGAATTTCTGGAGAGGGATTTAATTATAAATTACATATATGCACCATTGATAACAATCTTGGCAATATTCATACCTCAATTTTCTGGTGTATAAAGATAAAGCTTGTGTCTCCAAAAAGGAATGATTTATGTACAAAGATGTTCATTGTACATGAATAAGTGAATAATATGTTTCTCCCACAACTTTTTTTTTAAGATAACTGAACTGCTTAATGATGTGGAAAGACTAAAACAAGCACTCAATGGCCTTTCCCAACTCACCTACACAAGTGGGAACCCTACCAAGAGGCAGAGCCAGCTGATTGACACTCTGCAGCACCAAGTGAAATCTCTGGAGCAACAGCTGGCTGTGAGTAACCAGGCACACGGGGCTTTGCGTGAATATGTGCTGGTTCCCTGTAGTTAGTTTGTAAGGCTAATTTAGAAATTAAAGTGATCTGTAGCTGTGTTTGGATCCAAGAATGTAATTGTTTTTATATACGAGAAGTTACCTATACTGGTGGTGTAATAATACTTATTTGCTGCCTACTGTACAGCAGGCACCGTATTAAACATTTTACATACTTTATCTATAAACTTTATCTTCATCACAATCTCACAAAGCAGGTTTATTCCCTCCATTTAATTCTTAAGGAAACAAAGAATAAAATGTTTGATGCCTGGGGTCATTCAGCTGGGGTATAAATGTGGAACTGGCTGACTCCAAATCCAGCATCTTTCTCATTGCAGTGTACTTTCTAAAATATTGGTCCACTAAACTAAAGGAGGTTTTAAAATAATCTTTTATCTTTGTGAATAAAGAGGCATTCCTATGGTTTTACACCTTACATAGAAGAATAAATGCCTGGATTTAGAAGCTAAAGTTGGAAGGTCTGGTCTCAGTCCTGTCACTTACAAGGAAGTGGCAAGGAACATTCCTTTTAACTCTTGGTTTTCTCATACACAAAACAATAATAACTGATTACTTGTTTGTTTACATTTTTTTTAAAGATGGAGTCTTGCTATGTTGCTTAGACTTGTCTCCAATGGGGTCTTGCTATAGGCTGATCTCCTGGGCTCAAGTCATCCTGCTGCCTCAGTTTCCTGAGTATCTGGGACTATGCTTTTAATTATGCACTAATACACACGAAATGCTAAGTAAAATGGCCCAATCACATGTAAATTGTTGTTGATGTTTCCCTATTTCGTAGAATTGTTTATTTTTTAAGAGAAGAAAGGTTTTTTGTAGTGTTTATTTTTTAACACTGTAGGCCTACAGATTAAGGATGGTAAATTGTGAATTTGGATCTTATCCAAAGAGTATAGTGTCCCTTTAGTAATTAGAAATATTTGTTTATTGTTTATTATCTTCATGACACTGTGCTAAGCAGGGATAAAGAAAGTATGCCATTCCTGTCCCCAAGGAATTCTGGGTAGTTAGGGAGGCAAAATACAGATTCGTAAAATGACAAGATGAGAGATGTCAAATATAGAATTGAGAATGCAGATTCTAAGTGATGGGAGTTTCCAGGAAGGAAAGCTTAGTGGTGTGGTGGAAGCTAGTCTTAAAGAAGGGAGTACCTGGCTTCAACTTGTAAAGTAGATGCTATTTTGGTGGGTGAAAGGAAAGTAGAGGCTCTTCCATCCAAAGAAAATAGTGTAAAAAAAGCATGGAGATGGAATACAAGTGACATGGCCAGTGGGCAGTAAAAGGCCTGCCTATAGAGTAGTCCCCCTCTTCTCCACTGAGGGTATGTTCCAAGACCCCCAGTGGATACCTGAAATCATGGATAGGACCTGCTGAACCCTGTATATGCTATAAAGCGTGAAGACAGAATACAAGTGGCATGGCCAGAGGGCACTGAAAGGCCTGCCTGTAGAGTAGTCCCCCTCTTACCAACTGAGGCTGTGTTCCAAGACCCCCAGTGGATGCCTGAAACCATGGATAGGACTTGCTGAACCCTATCTAAGCTATGTTTTCCCCCCATATATAAATACCTGTGATAAAGTTTAATTTATAAATTGGGCACAGTAAGAGATTAATAACAATAGCATAATAAAGTAGAACAATTATAACAATATGTTGTAATAAAAGTTATGTGAATGTGGTCTCTATATCTCACAATATCTTATTGTGCTATACCATGGGCAACTGAAATAGAGAAAGTGAAACCGCTGATCGCAAAACTGCCAATAAGAGGGGACTGCTGTATTTGAGAGCCAATCTTTGAAGCCAAACTGTGGAAGTCATTGAGAACCAAACTGATGAATTTGGATTCTCTCATGTATGTAAAGAAGTGTCACTCAAGGTTTTTGAGCCAAAAGTGATGTGAGGAAAGAGGTACCTTAGTCTCAGAGGCATGATAGGGAATACGGTGTGAAGATAGTAAGACAGGATAGGAAGCATTTGCAATAATCCAAACGTGAGAAGTGTCTGCAGAAGGTCATGGCACTAGATGTGAACTAAAGCAATAATTTCATGTTACTTAGGGAAAGTAGCATTACTGTCATTAGCCACACATTCATTAGAGAAGTTTCTATTGTTATGTTTTGGAATTCTGCATCTGGTAGGTCCAAGGTAGTTTGTTGTTAGAAATAGCAGGAGCACTTTAATAATAATAATAGTTTTGTAGCATGAAGCCTGAGCATTGTCCAAAGTTTGGAAATGTCAATGCTGATATTCACATCTGCCCATCTTTCCACATTTCTAGGATGCTGACAGACAGCATCAAGAAGTAATTGCAATTTATCGAACACACCTTCTTAGTGCTGCACAGGTAAAGAACTACTTCTCCTTTGGAAAGAATATTGCTTTAGAGATAATAATTTTTTTATTTTCAAATAAATTTATGTGAAAGTAATTGATGTTTAAAGTAGCTGCACCCCATATGCTTATTTAAAAATAATTATGTTTCTTTTAATCATGGTTTGTGGATCTCCCAGAAAAATTTACAAAGCTATGTGGCAACACAACATCTTAAATTTAGTGTTGTCTCCATCTGCTTGTCACTCAGTTTATGGACAGTTTGGTAACATGTGATGGTAGCACACGTTAATGGTGTTGCTAGCTGGAGACAGTGCCTTGACATCCACACGTGGCTGTCATCTAAGAGGAGAGTGGGAATGGCTTTGAATACTGGAAAAGTACAAAAGTGACAAGCAGGGTGTTATGTGTATAGGACTGTAGTAATTAAAGACAAAATGATTTGTTAAGAGAGAATTGGTGATAATTATTTACCAAGCCTTAACTTGGCTTGGTAAAGCCAAGGAATAATTAAGGAATAATATTATGAATTCCCTTTTTTTAGGGGTGTACTGAGAAAGTTATTGTTAAAAAAAAAAATACTAAGAAATGATTAACATATAAAGGATACTATACTTAATTTCCTGTAGAAACACCATGAGCAGCATCCCCAAAATTCTCAGCATAGATTTTTTTCGGGAAGAAAATGTACTAAAAGAAACAAATTTTAGAATGACAGAGATCATGGGAATTATTTGAATTTGAGGTATGTTAGGCCACACTATAAAAACAAGCCAAAAAAAAAGAATGGAAAGATTAAAAAAAAAATCAATTTTAAACAGAGAACTAGATAAAATAATGAAAGATACTTTATGATATCAAGTTCTTAAAATCAATAGACCTGCCATTTCTATAGGAGATGGAGGGGAAACCAATGAAAAAGAATGAATGATATGATAGAACAAGGTATCTTAGCTACTCTTTTGAGCAAATCAGAGATAAACTAGAATTTTAAAGTTTATTGCAATTATTAGAGAAGATTATTGAGGGACAGTGAATAGGAAGTTCAAGTGGGAAAATAGTAGAAAATCTGTGTTAGAGAGGCTGAGAAACTCACTAGTATTGGCCGTGAGAGGAAGAGCTTGCTCTTAATGAAAAATACAGCAAACTAACAAGCCTTTCCACTTTGTATAATATGCACTTCCAGAATTTGAAATTATTTTCTGCTGTGTCCTAATAAAACATAACAAAAGCAATTGGCATCAGAAATAGTCTTGCCTTCTGGCATCATAAAGTTAACTAAGAAATTCAGTTCAGTCAACTATGGCTAATGTTTGAAATGTAAACATCCTGCTGTTATAGAAACAGATTTTGAAAGCAAAACTTTTCATATTAATAGGAAGTGTTGTGCTGAAACCTATTCAGGTACTCCAGGAAAAAAAACGTACATGTGTGTTGGGAGGGGTCGCGGTATTGTAATAGGCCCACCATATTGAGCTGCATTTAATCAACTCATGCCATCATTTTAAGTTTAAAGTATGTTTTAAAAATATAAATGGTGAACATGCATGTAAAAAAGATAACTTGGTTTCATCAGTAATGGGGGAGATGCAAATGAATAAGAACATATTGGAACTGGAAATATTACACAAGATTATAGTCTGTCGTGTTAGCCAGAGTGTATTGGAAACGGGCATTTTTACTCCATTGATGGTAGTACAGATTGTTATAATCTCTATAGAGGGAAATCTTGTAGTACTTAACAGAATTAAAAATTGAGACTGCTTTTTGACCCAGCAATTTCTTCTCTAGTAATCTTTCCATTAAGATTGGAAATACCTTAAATGTCCATCATTAGGGGAATGGGTAAAGAAATGTAATATATCCATGCAGTGGATATTATACAATAACTTAAAATAATTGGGTAGCTCAAGGGAAAGATTTTTATGACACTACATAAAAAAGCAAGTTATAAAATAATATATATGAACCTATTTATGTAAAAACATAAATATGGGTTTTTAAAATCAATTACTTAAATTTTAAATTTTTTTAGGAGATAGAGCCTTGCTCTGTCATCCAGGGTGGAGTGCAGTGGCACAGTCATAACTCATACAGCCTCAACTCCTGGGCTCAAGTGATCATCCTCCCTCAACCTCCCAAGTAGCTGGGACTACAGGCGCATGCCACCACACCTAGCTAAATTTTTTTTTTTTTTTTTTAAGTTTTTGAGATGGAGTCTCACTGTATTGTCTCGGCTGGTCTTAAACTCCTGGCCTCAAGTGATCCTCGCACCTTGGCCTCCCAAAGTGCTGAGATTGCAGGTGTGAGCCACCGTGTTCGGCCATCAGTTAGTTTTCTAATTTAAAAAAAAAAAAAAATCCTCAGCAGCAACAACAGATTTCCTTGTAGTTTACTTTGCTCATGTATAACTTATGCTGCCCTATCATTCAAGGCTGTTATTTAAAAAGAGAAAGAGGGAGGTTTATCCATATGTTTTATGATAATGGATGTTAGAGCAACTGGTGTGCACTAGTCTTGTTTTTTTTAGATGGGGTCTCACCCTGTCACTCAGGCTGGAGTGCAGTGCCACGATCTCGGTTCACTGCAACTTCTGCCTCCCAGGTTCAAGCGATTCTTCTGTCTCAGCCTCCCGAATAGCTGGGATTACAGATGTGTGCCACCACAACTGGCTTATTTTTGTATTTTTACTAGAGATGGAATTTCGCCATGTTGGCCAGGCTGGTCTCAAACTCCTGACCTCAAATGATCCACCCATCTCGGCCTCCCAAAGTGCTGGGATTGCAGACATGAGCCACCACACCCAGCCGTGCACTCCTTATAAATTGACTTTATTTTCATGATAGGGCTGTACCCCCTTTTCCTTTAGATACCACAATGGTGAGGATTTAGCATTTGATGAGTCAATGACTAGTTATGCTTTGTAAAAGCTTCGTCTTTAGAATTCTTATGTAAACAAAGATTACATAAAATAATGCTCCTCTTTCTTCTTTCTCCGAAGGGTCACATGGATGAAGATGTTCAGGAGGCTCTGCTCCAGATCATACAAATGCGGCAGGGGCTTGTGTGCTAGCAGTTAGCACTGACGGCCAGTATCTGTTTTATCTTGCTGGTGCTGAACATTCTTTGTGCAACTCCATGGTCTTTCTGGGCCTTACTGTGCTGGTATAATTAAAATAAAATATATTTTGTTCCATTGGTAGGTTTTTTTAAAAAATTAGATGAATATATTAGTCTTTTTCAATATCAGTTTGAATCTTATTTTCTGTATGTGTTAATTTTACAAATAGGCAAACAACATAACACTTCGCCCTGGATTGACTACATATTTTTAAACCTTCGAGTCCCTAATAAAACATGAGCCATCTGAGTGAGTCCATACGAAGCGAGGTTAGGCTGAAATAATTTCTTAAAGATGTCTTTCAGAGAAATTAATTTCGTTGGTGGCCACTTTTAGGTGGATCAAAAAACCTTTCAGATCCTCAGAACCTTGAGACATACAGTTGCGAGGAATGTGTTATAACTTGGCTGGCCAAGTTACATATTACAGTATCTTTATTGAGGTAAATTCATTAGTGTCTTTGGCCTTTTTTGTAGTTATAGGTATTTTTTCTTTTTACACTAATAACTTTTATGCCTTTTAAAATTAATTTTCATAAATGGTTTGTGGTGCTAAATTACAGTTAGATTAAGAACGGGCAGGGGTGGAATATATCAGGAATTTATAATAAAATTGCCTCAATCTCTACAACAGTATCTTAATTTTTACTTGTGGTGACTATTCTTGCCACAGTATTAGTGAATAGTGATAAATGATATACTAGATTTTTCAAAGTGTCAAAACCTTTAGACTTTTTTTTAGCAATTAGTTTGACATTTGCTACTATAGTAACCAAGCACTCATTATATATGCATCCTCCAAATGTTTCATGCTTATTTATAGGAAAGTTATACTACTGAGATTAATAATGTGAAATACAGTTTTCCTGCAAAATTAGCATTAGAGAATTGATTTTAGATAACAGATTTTCGAAGTTTTAGAGACAAGTGCAGTAATACAGTAAACGGAAAGAGTATATAGATAGTAATAAAATAACATAAGTGGACATGTTTATAGTAAATACTCTGAAGTAACCAACGGTTTTTATTTACTGCGTCTCATTAGGGAAAGTTTATATATCTTGTTATTTTTTATTAACATTTTATTTACCATTCGGAGTGAAAATTACTAATTTGAGTATTAACAAATAACTGAATAAATGGATCATTGCAGTTAGGTTTTCTCAAATTGCAAAATTTGCCTTAGCAATAATCTTTGAACATCCTGAACCAGATTTTGTAATGCTATTTTTTTAATAGGGTAAAAGTACCATCAAAATGACTTTTCATACCAAAGAATAAGTCATCATATTTTTTCAGTGTTGAAACAACATTGAAAGCCAGAATTGGATTTATTTTTAATTCTTTATATGGTTTACATAAGCAATATCTGTTTCTTTAATTATTATGTTTAATGTTGTCATTCAGCATGAGTTCTGTTTCACAAGTTTTGGGCCACCTATTTCAATTAAAAAAAAAAAATTAAAAAAGTTGCCAGGGGTAGTGGCTTATGCCTGTAGAATCCTTTGGGAGGCCGAGGCAAGTAGATCACCTGAGGTCAGGAGTTCAGACCACCCGACCAATATGGTGAAACTCCGTCTCTATTAAAACTACAAAAATTAACCCGGCATGGTGGCGGACGCCTGTATTCCCAGGTACTTGGGAGGCTAAGACGGGAGAATCGCTTGAATGCCGGTGGCGGAGGTTGCAGTGAGCCAAGATCACGCCACTGCACTCCAGCTTGAGCAACAGCGAGACTCCATCTCAAAATAAAATAAATAAAATAAAAGCTCTACAATAGAGCAAAGTTTTAAACTGAATATTTATGTTAAGTGTTTTATTTTCCACATTAGAGATGGGAAGGGAACCTTATGTGTATTTTATTTTGTTTTCAACCATTAATAAAGTTTTCTCTAGAATATTGTTTTGAACATCCTTGTAAAAAGATTTGCAAGTTAAACTAGTTTATTTACTGTCTGTGAGGGCATTGGGAGTGGGAAACGATGGGCTCCAGAGTACAAATGAGAATACCCATTTTCCTTCAGCGCTCTGAAGTAAAATATCAAGTACCTCCTTCAACTAATCTTGTCTCATTCACTCACCTTTTGATATTGAAAGTAGAAATTGCATTTACAACACTGAAGACTAAAGCTTTTAATTAGTAAACAAGTGGAACATAGGTAATGGACAATGCTGGCCACTGCCATTCTGTGTTTAGAAAGACTATGAGACCTGAACATTTGGCCAAGAGGAAAGAAGAGTGATGTTGTCTAAGATGTCATGAGTGCTCTCTCAGAGAATCACTCAATTCCTATTGGAGCGCAATCCTTACTTGAAAGCTTTATTACTCTTGTTCTGTGTAGATTTTTTTTTTTTTTGGTCACTTCCCCATCAGAAAAGCATATTCTTTTTGATAGAGGGTCAGTGTTATAAATAATTGTCTATTGAAATAAAATCAAATATTCATGCATTGAACATCTTAAATTTTAATATTATGGTGACTATAATCACTTAACTATATCAGCATTGTTCCAGAATTCCAGATGAATTTAGCTCTGTCTTTTTTATGGTTTTTTAGTTGAACCTTTTCTCTTGACTCCAACCAAATTTTATAGTTTACAATTTTCTACTCTTCTATAAATGCATTGGCTCATTGCTGTTTTAAAAATCTTGCAGCTTCAGAACATGAGCATTTTTTTTCTCCAGTGTTACCAGCTTTCCTCTGACTAGCACCTAAAAACTGTTCTCACACATGTGCTTGTTACCCTATCTGAATGTTCATGTCTTTGACCGACTTGTTTCAAAGTAAAAAAGGGAAGAGTTTCAAGTTAATTTTTGGTGTTCATGGTGACTAGATACGTCAGTGCCTGCTTGCAGGAGTGCCGGACCTTAGCAGTGGTTACAAGCTTCTTTTGACATCTGCTTCACCATGATAGAAGACAGTTACTTCTTATTGCCTCTGTTTTCCTCATCACTGGATTCTGCAACCTTGTGATCTTTTCTCTTCTTGTTGGTTCTGTGCACCAAAGTAATGGTAGCACCTCTGGCACCAAAATACGGGTTGAAAGAGAATGCCTGTGATGAACGTGGAAGATGTGGCTGACCTAGATCTTACCCCTGGCCCATAAGTTTTATGAATAAGTTCAGAGGGAGGATAAAAAGCACTAGATGAGTAAAGGCAGAATTTGCACCATAAAATAGATTGTGCACAAAATACAAAATGAAAATTAGTATAGACATTTCAACTGTCATTTCATTCAGTGTTGTTCCCAGCTAAACTGGAAACTGAACCTGAGACTGTTGCTGGAAATTCAGTTCTTCCCCATGTTTTGGTCTTAGCTATTTGAAACAGGACTATTTAGACCAGCCTCTCCAGGTAAATATTAACCTGCTTCTTAGCATAGTTTCTGATTATTAATATATTGACCTTTGGGCTAAAGTGAGTAATGAATGTACAGATTTTTTTTTTTTTTTTTTTTTAAAGATCAAGCTGTATCAGCAGTGGCATTCCAACAGACTCCCTGGGCAGTGAGGGTGCTTGTGTTCAGCGTAATTGGGCATGTGACATCACTTATATATTAGAGGCATTTTCATTATTTATGCCTGCATGAACAAACATCGGTGATGAATGAATTCAACCAAAAAGGGAAGGTTACAAAAATGTCATATGTAAATGAAAAAGAGCAAGACTTGTGAGGGTTGCTTCTCCAGTTCATATATATATATATATAATTCAGTCTAATTTATATGTATATATATTCCATTCAGTTAAAATAATGGAAGAGACATCAATAAAAACAATGCCCGTTATAATTGATATTTGGCATCAAATTATACTTAATACGCCTGATTTTTTTTTTCACTCTTGTTGCATAGGCTAAAGTGGTTCAGGCTCATCTCACTGCAATTTCTGCCTCCAGGGTTCAAGTGATTCCCCTGCCTCAGCCTCCCAAGTAGCTGGGATTACAGGCATGCACCACCATGCCTGGCCAATTTTGTATTTTTAGTAGAGACGGGGATTTCACTATGTTGGTCAGGCTGGTCTCGAACTCCTGACCTCAGGTGATCCACCCACCTCAGCCTCCCAAAGTGCTGGGATTACAGGCATGAGTCACCACGCCTGGCCTGGCTTTTATATTTTAAGCAAGTTTTCAGTTTTTTTCAAGATAGCAGTCATGGGAATATTCTGAATTCTGGAAAGAGTTTAGAGAGGTTATTGCCTTCTTAATAATTTAGAGCGTCTATTGCTCTGCCAAGTCAGAAGATTAACATTTAATAGAAAAAAATTATATATCTATAATTCAGTCACAGCTATTAGATCAGATGGATTTTACATTAAGTGAAAAAGATGTTGAGCATTTAAGGACCATTAAACTACAGGACTCTTTTATTGGGTTTTAAGGCCCCCAAGCCAGGGTCCTGCTGTGAAGAGTATTTATTTTAATATACAGAACGCATTAAGGATGGGAAAGGGGCACACGTTTTAAAAGAAAATAGGCCATGAAAAAGTGTGATTTTCCACATTGTGAACAACTACCAAACAGATTCAGTCTTATAATAATTAGTTTTATGCATCATTAAGTAGCTTGCTTACTGGCTAGAAGAATATGGTGAAGCCCATTTTAAAAGTGGTACCTGCAGGAAATCCAAGTAGCTACATGTCCTTTGTTGATATTTCACTTAGAGAAACTGCGTTTCTAGTAGTTTCCAGGATTCTTAAGGTTGCTATGTATTGTCAGGAATTTAAGTTTGGAAATGCCTTCTTCAGTGGTCCTTAAGGACCATGAAAACAAAGACCCAGAGAGGATTTCTAGTAAGTGTTTGCTTTTTCTAGCAATGCTCAAATTATCAATGAGAGAGTGGAATTTGACCCTTGAGAAGAATCACTTGCCTATTGGAAGAAAGTCTGCACCATTCTCTTTATTAAGTGCTTATCACAATCCCATTGTTGGAATTAATACCTTAATGTAAGTTTTTCTTACTATTTACACCATGCCTCCTGCCCCATTCCTACTTCCAAAAATGGAAGAGTTTTAGGAGTTTAAAAGCAAATAGACTCAGGGAGGATGTGAGAATGGAGTTAATATAATTTGTAACTTTTTCCCCCCTACAATGTCCAAACAAATTTGGTGATTTTCTTTCTTGCTATTCTAGGCTTTTTTAAATTGCCTCTGACTAAAGTGGCACCTTATGGGCTGCTTCAGAAATTTTCTTCAGGATTTAAAAATGAAGCCGATTCATATTCAGAGTCTTCCTGCTGAAAATCTGTTAAGCCAAAATAAAAATGACTGCTACTTAAATTTTTTTTCCCTCTTTGTTGTTGCTGCAAACATTGTCTCACAGGAGTTGCAAGATCTCATTTATGCAGTTAAAACTCACTCTGCTTTGTACAAATGGAGAGAGATGAACCGTCCCAGGACTACCAATACAAGTCCTAAGGATTAAAGTGCATCTGCCTCAATCAAATAAATGTGAGCTGCACTCCTGAGTGTGGAGGGGTTTTTTTTTAAGTGAATTGTTCCAGTTGGCCTTAATCCCTAAGCAATATAGCTCCTTTAAAACCATCTTTATTCATTCACACCAATTGACACTTAAAATCCCCCAGCCACTGTTCATCTAAGTCTAAATATAGCTGTTAGAGTCAAATGTGTTTAAGAGGATTTGCAATCTGATTATCCAAAATACTATTTATTGTCAATGTTTTTGGTGTGCCATGGCCAATCTTATTATTATAATGTACATAGCCATTTAACGGCAGCAGAGCCTAAAATATATCACAGCAATTGGGATAACCTGAAGGAGGGCTTTTCTCCAGCTCCGCGCTGTCATTCTGGCACAGCTTGTTGTGTGGTTACGAACATCAGAAAGAATTCCTTAATAAGCTCTTGCTCTCCTTCCAGACCCTTTTGGGCAAGCCCTCCATGTTCTCTAAGTAGAGAGCAGTTACCAGGACAACAGAGAATTTGAGGAAGATTTAATTGTGATTTGATGTCTAACCAGAATAAAGAGCTAGTGCCTTGAATTTATATTCTAGGTTTCCAAGCAAATGTCAATATGCATATTTATTATTTTTGCCCTTCCTCATTATAAAAATGATTTTAAGATGGCTCACATTTTTTTTTGTTAATATGGGAGAGGAGAATGGGGATGATAAATACTAAAAGGATAGGAAAAACAAGCAACAACTTGTTGTGCAGGAAACATGCCAGTTAACAATATAATATCCTGCTTTTCTGGGGCTGACCTCAGTTTGACTCTGAACTTCCTAGTGGCCAATGTAGTGATGAAAACATCACATATGTGAGGCACGGTGCCAGAGCACAGGTATTCCTGGTTCTGAAACTGGCCTGGTGTTCCACGTGGGTCCAGCACATCAGTTGGTATACATCTCAAGCTGGAGTGCGCAGTGCCTCAGGGCACATGCCCTGGGATAAAAATGGCACATCTTCCTAAAGTGCTTCCATCGGATTTAATGGTAAGAAAGCTATTTTTAGTAACATTTTTATTTTGGAGTAATTTGTAGTCCATGAGATGACTGAACCAGGGTAATAGCAGTCCATATTTTGGGTCCATAAGGAAAAATCTGTTTTTGTTGTTTTTTTTTCTTGCCTTATTCTTGGGCCACAGATGTTTCAAACAAATTTCTTAAGTAGATACCTGTGTCTGGTTCTTTTTGGTTGGTTCGTTGGTTTTTTGCCTGCCTTTTACTTATTTTTCATTATCTGTGTCACTCCCTTCTGGCCTCCTATGCACATGACAAACATTCTTTGCCTGGCCAAACTTTAGTCAGGCTATTCAACCTTCTAGGCCCATCTGTGCACTTCCTTGTACAACCCAGTTTTAGCAAAGAACCCCACCAGGTCAGTTTAGCAAGAGCCCTCACCCTTGATAGCTGGTCACTCTTGACATCTGATCCGGT